AAAAAAAAAAAAAAAAAAAAAAAAAAATAGATTGATAAATTAAATTAAAAATCATTTTATTTGCGATAATGACATCAAAAATATCAAAAAAAATAAAGATTACAATAACGTACATCTTCCTTGTTCACCAAAAATCGATCTTTTTTTTTTAAATTTTTATTTATACAAAATTATTTCTTTTTTTTTTCGGAAATTTACAGTTTATTATTATATTTATTTAGTATTATTACAAACGGTTTTTGAAATCATTTTAATTTCGGGTAAAATTCTTTGCCGATTATGTTTTTTAAAATTATTTTTAGTTCCGGTATAATTCTTTGCCGATTATTGTGATTTGTTATTTGTTAGGGTTCTCGAGTCGTTCGATCTTTCTGGACGCCCAAATTATTTTAAGTTTTTTCATTTTTATTTTATTGTCATTATTTTATGTAATCTTTGTGAGATGTTGCCCATGTTTTTGTGAACATTAATCATTATTTCATTATTAATAATTTTGATAATTTTATTTTTATTTTTTATTTTTTTATTTTCATTACGTTACGTAATTGAAAATTTTGGAAGATCCTTGTGCAAAGTTGTGCCGACAAATAATTAGGGTTTAATCGACAATTTCTGCAAATTACGTGACACAATCATACTTAAAAAATCAATTAAATCAATCCTTTAATAAGAAAAATAATAATGAAAAAAAAATTATTGTTTATATTATTATTTTAATAAATGGATAATATTGATAATTTTAATTTAACTTAACTTGGTAATTATTATTCAAATTTGAACTTTTTTAATCATCTTTTAGTATTGTTTGAAATTTTTTGACCGAAATTTGGATATATTAGTATTAAAAAAAATGTTGTACATAAATAAATCAAAATTTCCTGATATAAAAAAAAATTCCTGTAAAAAAAAAAAAATAAATAAACGGATTTCTTCTTGTCATCCAAATTTAGTTAAAACACAATTTGTATTTATTGTACAGCATTTTAAAAAAATATTTACAAAAAAAAAAAAAAAAAAGTTTAACCATTTTTTTTTTCTCTTTTTTACAAATAAAGGGAAATAAAAAATTTCCGGAATACAAAAAAAAAATTGTAATATCTAAAAAAAGATTATGAGTCATATAAAAGATTATGAGTCATAAAAGTTTATTTTTTTTAAACACATCTAAGAAAAAATGATTTATTTAATATGGTAATTATTATCATCCAACTTTAAATTTTTTTTTGGGGGGATTTTTCTATTTTAATAAAAAAAAGGGAAAGAAAACCAATAAATTGAAAAAAGAAAATTTGGCTTATATCGTCATCTTATCAATAAATGATTTCATTTTAAATGAAAGATTAAAATAAGTAAGAAAAAGAAAGAAAAAATGGCAAAAAAAAGAAATTTCTTTTAAGGATGGATTGCACCAAAAATGAAAAATGATAATATATTCGGAACAAAATTATTATAGTACGATAACGTAATATTACGTTCAATAATAAATGGCGGGTTCTCATACAGGTACAATACATTTCAATACTTTTTTTTGTTGCACCATTTTTTCGAATTTAGGCATAACAAAATTTTAAGAAATATTATTAATAAAAATATTTTTGTTATACATGTTATACAACCAATCGGAAAAACTCAATAAGAATTATTATTAAATTTTTTTTTATCGTTATGATATATGTATTGATATATGTTATGATATATGGGGACTGGTCTAGCAAAACAAGGGATTTGGTCTCAAAAAAAAATTTTTTTGTTTATATGATAATTATATGTCAATTTCACTAAAAATTACAATTATAATAAAATCTCAAAAAAATTTTTTTTGGTCCCAACCCCTTGTTTTGCTAGACAGGTCCCCATATGTTATGATATATCTTAACAAAAAATAATTATTATATTTTTTTTTTCAATGTATAAAGGAATGTAAGGATAATTTGATAAAAATTCTAGTTTGTAATTTATTATAATATGATTTATATAATTTGAATTCTTAAAAGATTGGTTGAACTAAAAAGTTGAAATAAGGATAATGTTTAGCTATTAAACAATATTCATACTGCATGTATTATTATAAACAAATAAGTGCTTCTAACGCTATGCGTGAAACCCAAACATCAGGAGTTTCGTAAATCTAAATAGTTCAGGTGATGCTGTATACCACTGCATAGCTGTGACAAATATGGGCGGCATTAACGGCATTGTATAATATCGTTGGTGTATCAAACCCTGTGTAGGACGCAGTGGACGCACCCCTTTTATTGGCGCAGGTCTTTTTTCATCACGGGCGTGACAAATAAACTTAAAATTTATTTTTATTTCTTAGTTTCAGTACAAATTACAATAATAGAATCGAAAGTAATTTTCAAATAAACTGTAAACCAAGTCCCCACTAAGTGACGACTTTACCCTGGTGGAAAAATAAAAGGAAAAGGAAAACCGATGTAGAGGAAGTAAAACAACCCATACGTCCGCACCAGAAAATCAAAATAATACGGAACCGCTTGTTGATAAAATAGAATTAAAAGAAAAAAGTTTCAATAAATTTATATCTTGAAATAAAAAAAATTATCTCTGTGTTTCCTAAGAGCCTGAATGTAAAAAATTACTCAATGTCCAACGAATATGTGGAGGTAATATCGTACGAGGTCTAGAAATAGGACCATAGACGTGAATCCACATTTTGATGTGTGTAATTTTTCTTTTTGGCAATACCTAAAATTTGTTCCCATTGTTTGAAAGCACTGTTTCATTCCAGTCATGTCACTTAATACTCAAAAAAACTTTAACCTTCATTTGACCTGTGATATTTACCTATAAGAAAAAAGAAATTGTTAATAATGTGCAAAATTTTTATTTAATGGTAAAGACATAGCCAGCTCCTCCTCTAGAACTAGCAGACTTTACCAGTAACAAAATAAGGATGTCTGCTTGAGTTGGTTATTAAGTGAACAAGTAATTAAAAAAAATAAAATAAAAAGAAATAAAAAGGGGAAAAAAAATAAAAAAAAATAAATAAATTAAAAGAAAAAAGCAGGTAATTCTCCTAAGTCAACCTTGTGAACTCCCCGACTCAATTGAGTAATCCGTTCTAGATTTTCTTAGGAGTTGCCCACTTTGCAAAATAAAAAAATAAAAAAAAATCACCCATCACCTTTCACCAACCCAATCAAACAAATCCAAGTAATCTCCTAAGTAACCTTGTGAACTCCCCGACTCAATTGAGTAATCCGTTCTAGGTTTACTTAGGAGTTACTCACTTTGCAAAATAAAAGTAAAACACACCTCTTTTAAAGGAACTGCAGATCATATGATTTTTGCGTAAAGTTAGATTGCGCTTAGAAGTAATCACAATTTGTCACATGATTAGCGCATAACAACTTTATGAAAATTTTATATTGAATATATCTTTCCCGAAGCAACAAAATCTATTTTAGAGAAAGAAGTGTATTTTAATAAGAAAGTGTTTAAGAAGTTTAAAATTTAAAGCTTTTGCAAAGTATATATTTTCCCTGAACTCCTGAAGTAATAAAATATATTTTCAGGAAGTGTATTTTTTAGAGAAAGAGATGTATTTTACAAAAAAATATATTTTATTAAAAAAAAGTGTGTATATTTTACGAAAAAAAAAAATATATTTTTCGTAAGTGTATTATTTAAAAAAAAAAGTTTATTTTATTTCGTAAGTATTTTGGAATTTTTTTTAAAAAAAATGAGGTACAGTATATACATACCTTTTCGAATACATAGTGATTAATCAGTGGCTTTGTTATGATGATATCAGTAAAGCATAAAAAATTTCTCATGAGTATATCGATTCTAGATCAAAATTCGATTGCGTAATATTATTACCAAATAGTAATTTAGTAATAACAAATAAGTTGGACGCGTAAACTTGCTAATAGTCTTAATAGTCTGCCATCATTAAAAATCCTGCACTTGCATCTATTTATGTACAACTGAAAAATATATAGATAGACCTTTATTTTATTATTTCTAAATATAATTTTTTTTTATTTTTCCCTTATATTACAGTCCATACTACTCTATATTGGATTTCAATTTTGACTTCACCTCTTCTAATTAATTTCTTAATGGCCATACACTTTTAATCAGATTTATTAGCAAGAGAATAATCTCCCGTTGTTAACAAATAGCATGCTACAATATCTGATGTATTATCAGTTATATTTATCATGATTTTATTTCGACTTGTCTTAATAGATAAAATTTTTACAGTTATAAATAAAAAAATTAGAAAACAATAACTTCTAATCTATTTATACTCTTTAATCTACATTATTGGATAATAAATAACTTCCATTTCTTCCAAAAACAAATTGATGGCATCTATTAAGCATTATAAATAACTAGTTTTGTTATATCCCAATCCGAAAAGTGTTCAAACTCTTCATTTTCTAATTCTGCAATTTTCTCTTTTTAGTTGCAATAAAGCAGTTACTGAGCAAAATCATTAAAAAGTGAGGTTCAGTGAAAAAAATATTTTTCGTGATTTATTATTATTAGTTAAATTTTCTTTTTTTTTCTTTTTCTTGTAAAATAAAATTTTTCGAAAATATAATTTTGTTATTGAGCTACATTTTACCTAAAAAAAAATAAACGATTTATAGTAATTATACGTTAACGTAACTTTACTGCGCCCATTGCGGCCAGTTTATTTCGTTAATTTAAAAAAATAAAACATGAATAATTTACGAGTAATATTTAAAAAAAACTTTTATTATATTACTGTTATTAAATATTCTTATTACTAATATGTTATTATTGTTATTATATAATAAACTTAATGATTTGGTTGAGTTTATTAAGATAGTTAAAATAAACTTAATTAAATGTAATATGGTGAATACTGATAGAGAATATAACGGAGGGGAGAGTAATTTAAGAATAGTAATTAGAGAGGAATTGTAATTAAATCATAATTATAAATTATTGGAAAATTTTTATAGATGATAAATGTACGATTATTAAAATACGAAATTATTTATAAGTTATATTTGATTAACACGAAATTGTTTTATAACCTAATTTTTATTACTTTGTAATATACGGTAACGGTAACGACAATGATTTTGTGATTATCGACGAACAGTGTCAGATTACTATAAGAGTATGATATTTAGTTGCAATCTTCGATAGCCGGACTGATTGGTTGTGGAACGGTATGTTCTGCGTAATTTTTTATGGTGAAGAATAGTGTTCGTCTTTGGAAAGTAAGGACAGAGTGCTTTATCATTACCGGTCACGTGATATGTCCCTGCAATTAATGAAGCTGTACGCATTTTCCAGGGCCGGAATTATGATAATGTCAGTCGGTTACTATAATAGGAAATAAAATTCTGACTGGCATTACCAAAAATTATCTAAAAAAGGAAAGATTTTCATGATTTTTTTTTAGTTCAAAATACGCAAACTCAAACCTGACCCTTTTGTATATATTTCTGGGTCTTTCCGATATTCCATAGGATCATGTATAGCAAAATTTTATAGTTATCCGATTGTATTTTATATGCAATATCAAACATGAAATCTATTTTATTATTCATACGTAATATTTATATACATTACCAATTCTATAAGTTAATTAATGTGGAAAATTAAAAGTGCAGTTATTAAATGAAAAATTACCCTCCTTAAAGGTGATAAAATTATACTTTGTTAGACTATTTAGACTATTGATAAACTATTTATACATGATCATAGAGGCCTCTCGGATATAAAATTTATCTAATAGAAAATGATTACATTATTTTTACTTATTACAGGTAAATGTTTTCAGCCAATCATAAACCCTTCATAAGTAAAAATAATGTTATTCACTCTTTTCTATCGGATAATTATATAGTATGCCTTAATCTTCATGAACTTTTGGTAGAGGATATGATGTTAATTTTGTACATGCTATTAATGAAACAGAATTAATCTTTATTTCCTATTTTGCTCAGTAAATTCAAAAAATTTCACTTATATTAACAAGATGTCTCGCAATAATTCCTAATGAGTTATAATAATTTTTTTATTACCGCAGTATGATTCACAATGTAAATTTTTTTTTAAACAAATAATAAACCAAAGACGCGTTTTTACTTTACTTGGCTATATATATTGTCGTGTGATTTAGCTAGTGTTGTCCCACGCTTAGAACAAACGATGAGTTCCAATTGTTTACCGATATACAGTCAAATCTCGATATACCGAACTCGCGGTATATAGTCGAGGTGGGTTGATACTCTTGACAGATTAGTTTTATTCGAACAATCTCTTTCTGAGCGAAAAAAAGAGATAATTGATCGTGAAATCTCTTGCACCAACAAGAAGAATATGCGAATAAATTGGAACAAACGAAATTAGAAATTCGGAAAACAATAACCAAACAGGTTAAAATGGAAAACGAAGCCTACCCTAGTGCTGAATTCTAACGTTTGCAAGATGAGCATGATAAATTTGTGGATGGCATACGATCTTTTAAGAAAAATCTGGATGACCAATAAAGGCAACGCAACTCATCTCATGAGACTGCCATGAGTAAATCCTTAGAAGAGAAAGACAAAAAAATTGTACAATTATCTACTTCTATTGCTTTATCCAAAGAGGAAATTCAACATACTAAGAAATTGATGAAAATTTCGTTAACATAATTAGGAATACACTATAAGTAATTTGTTGGATATAATTTATTTATTTAAAGTACTGAAACTTATATATTTTACATGCTTTATTCATAAAAATAATGAACTCTTTTTCGCTCTTTTCTTTTTATTTTACAACAAAATGGATAAATTATAAAATTTTATTTTACTTGCCTAACGATTTGATTATGAATTTTACATGTTGTTGGAGCTTGTAGTTTAACATTTATATGTAAAATAGTTTAACATTTTCAGCCAAAAAGAGAAATATAGCTATGTTAAATATGCGCAAAATAACCTCTTAATAGTATATTTATAATATGGATTTAATATTTAATACTCAATTAATGAATAAAAAAAAAATTCATCAACAATGGTTTTAATTCGCAGTTTAATTTTATTTAATTCTGTTATAAATCAAAGTAGGCAATCTGGAGTAAGTACAAAAGTTTTTGATATTTTGATATTTTAATACTAATATAATACTAGTGTAAAATATGAAAAAATAATTAAAGGAATATTGCAAAGTACTAATGACAGTTATATATATATATTATATATATTATATATATTATATTCTTTAATTACACCCTCATCAAAATATTTTTTTATAATCTTATTATTATCTGTAAAGTTTTCTTCATTACTATAATAGTCATTAATAATATTAAAAATGAGTGGTGATTTACTTTTTTTCCAATTTTCAAAAAATTTTTCTAATCCTTTAGTTGTAAATATTGAATTTTCTTTTTTAAAAAATGAATATTCACGCAAAGTTTCTGGTGAATAATCTAATATAATTTCTAATAGTTTGTCACCATTATGTTCTTCACTATCCAATGAAAGACTCATCATCTCTAATTGTGTACAATTTAAAAAGATTTCTTTTAAATCTTCAAAATTTTCAGGTTCAATATTAATTGTTAACTTTTTGATCTTTGGACAACATTTAGAAATTGTTATAATTAATATTTTAGTATAAATAGGATCATGAAGTTTCTCTCTACGTATATTAATCTCTAAAATATTTCCATTAGATTTTTCAATCAACATATAATCTTTAGTAAAAAATAAATCAGTATTAAAATATATTTCTAGATATTGAAGATTTGGAAATGAAGCAATTGATAAATATTCATCCCAAACTTCCATTGTGGAACCTCCAAGTATTAAAGTAAAATCTGCATCACTAATAATTTCTAAATGTTGTAAATTTATCAATGATGTAAGAATTTTAGGTGATAATAATCTAATAAATGGTCTAACAGTGAATTTTTTTAATGTAGAAGCTTTCTTCATAATTATATCATTCAGTGGTCTAAATATAGAGAAATGTAATTTTTCTTTAGCCAAAAAATCTATGCATAATGATTGTAAATTTCTTTGAATATTAATGAAATCAACTAATCCTTCAATATTTTTATTACAATTAGTTACTTCTAAGTGTTTAATATTTTGACAAATTTGTATCATATCAAATAAATTTCCTATTGTCACAAATATAAGATTAATTTTTAATGTACATAATTGAGAAAAGCAAGTAGTTGCTCCTTGATATTTAAATAAAGGATGTGATGTATCCCAATAAAAAAGTTTTAAACCTTTACAATTATTTATAAATAGCTTATAAATTTCTTGATTCAATATATACTTCTTATATCTTTCTCCAACATTATTATTATATTCTTTATTATCATCATAAATTAATGCCTTTGATACACCACTGATTAAATCTGGTGAAATTTGAGTGAAAAAGCTAATGTAGTTAAACAATGGTTTATTATCAGAAATTTCAGTTAAAGATAATTCAGGGATATTATCAGATAGAAATTTCTTTGAAGATTTTGGTAGTAAGAAAATTATCATATTATGAAGTTTAGAAGGTGAAAATCCTTTTAGAGAAGATGGATTTTTCCATAATATTGGTATAGCTATACGACACCAGTGTCTATTTACCAAAATGCATGAATATAAAGATGATAAATCATATTGTAATTCATTAATAATAATTTTAAGACAATCTTCAGTAATATGTGACATTATTTTGAGTAAAAAATACAAAATTAATAAAAGGTCAAAGATAAAAAAGGTCAAAGATAAAAATTTAGGATAAAAAAATTTAGGAGAATATATATGTATTTGTATAAAATGATAGTATAAATAAGTGCAATTATCAGTCAGTTAGTGCAAATTTGACCACTGTAATTCTTTCATATGAAATGATGTAATTCCTTTCTATGTTTCAATTATAGCATAGAACATTAGTTTTATAATAAACTAAGTTTTATGATTAAATAAACTCATACAAGTATTATTTCATTATATAATTTAGTGTATCATATTGTTATTCAATATATCATAATGATGAAATGATATATAGAATCATATGAACAATAATGATTCAAGTATGAAAGGCTAATGGTAAGCCATATGTAATGATGATGTCAGATTACTGTGTTATGATTAAAAGATCTAAAAAATTATTATATCATTTTCCAGCTGATTAACTGATTTTACAGCCCAAGCTGTCTCTGCACCTTATTAGAAACGTGTTTGATCCAGTATGGTTTAAAAAAAGATCGATTTTTTTTTATTCATTTTATTCATTATCTCATTAGCAAGAAAAAAAAATATTCGACCAAAATTTCGTAAACTGGAATTGGATTAACCACAAAATTGGACATCGTAGAGGGTATTCTAAACGTCAGAAGAATTTCTAATAAAAATTATCTGAGAAACTTATTTTAACGAACTGATATCCTGAAATGCATTAAATCATAAAAATTGGGCGTACTAGGACCCCGAAATATATATGTAGAGGTCAGATCCAGAAGTGGTCCAAAATACGCATTCTTTCAGGGCCGGAATTACGATAATTTCAGCCATCATCTAAATTAGGAAATATTATTTTGGCTGGAATTATCCATAAAAGGAATGATCTACATGATTTTTTTTGACTCATTATACGTAAACTCTGACCTGACCCTTTTATGTATATTTCGGGGTCCTGGCGTACTTTTAGTATTTTATTCTTTTCGCAATAAAAACAAAAATTCAAAAAATTTTCAAAATAAAAAAATGGAAATCGTTTCCTATTTTTGATTGATCTTTTTCTAAAAATTTATCTATATCTTTTATTAGGATTCGAACAATATTATTATATAAAGAATTGTTTAAGTATAAAGATTTAGAATAGTTTAGTGTAATTCCGAAATTTCACCCGAAAAGAATGTTTTTGCTTGACGTGAATTTATCAAGACGTATGAACATATTTATATTAATGAATGATCGGAAAATAAAGTCTACTGAAAATCATTAATAAATTTTGTTGGGTAATTTGTATCAATAATTACGCCTCACAATCTTAGCCTTCAATTCTATTCTGTCAATTTTTTTAGTTCATCGAAAGTGTTACCCTCTTGTTCGAATATCATAAGTCATTAATAATCAGCTGTATGTTAAAAGTTAACAAATAACCACAATATGATATGTTCAAAAATATTTTTTCTACATTAATATGTTCTTGAATGAAATAATAATCCAATTTCTTTAAGGCTATCTATTCCATCATTTGTGTTTTACAGTATGTTTGTATAAAAATCATTCCAATTTTTACATTTAACTTCATTTTGGGTATCATAATATAAATTCCTATGCAATGATGTGTTGCACAGAAGTCAGCTGCTAGTTTAACTAGTTTAGCCGCTCATCAAACGATGTAATTATAACCAAAAAAATTTGGTACACAAGCATTTGATGCTTTAGTAAAGATAATGATAAAAATTTTAAAAATTTAATTTATAAAAATAGTTAAACTGCGACTCGGAAAATATTATTAGTAAAAATATAATAAATTACTATGTAAAGTAAATCGTTTTTAATCGAGTATTAACTTTTTTTATACAATTTTTATAATATTCTTTAATGTATATAGATTCTTGACCTCGGAAACTTATTCCATATATCAATATTTTATATCATTTCCGTTAGAATTTTCAATTCACAATACCCAGAAGATAATAAGTATCATGTCTTGAGTTATTAAGTTTCAGAAAAAGAAGAATTCGGTATATTTTTTTGCCATTCTTGTACGTCTTGTTTATGAAATTAATATTCAATATTTAAACTCTAAATATTCTATATTTATTAATAATGTAAAGAAATAAAACACCCCTTATGATGGGAGTACCAGAAATTACGTAATTTCTTGAAGGGGAGGAGGTGTTAGGCCAGGATGACCTTCCATTTTTAGTAATTAATAACATATTTAATTCCGGACCGTTCATAATTAGCATACTAAACAAGTATATAATAATATAGTAAATTGTTTACTTTTATGCATGATTTTTTAAAATTATTAGTTTATCATCACAATTAAATAGGTTTTTTAACTATGTTCTAAAGGGAGTAAAGATCTGTATTGTCAAACTTTATTTTCATACAAATATGGGCATATCATCACATAAGACTTGTTTTTTTTGTACGCCGATCAATTTTTTTTTTTTTTTAATTTCCCTCTCTAATTTTTTGTAAAAAAAAATCATGTCGTCATATGATGATATTAAATGTAAAAATTGTGGTGAAATATTCGGAAATATATTTGCTAAATGGTGGCAAACCATGCGAAATAAATAATATTAAGAAAAATTTTGCAAATTTGAGTGGAAATGAAAAAATTGATGAACTTATTCAAGAAATGCAATTGAAAATTGAGAGTTATAAGGATATAGTTGTTGAATGGATACCATATAATCAGTTAAATGATATCAAAGAAATAGGCAAAGATGATTCTACTATAATATATTCAGCAAGATGGATGGATCATGGATGGTCCATTAAATTATGATGATTATGATGAAATTATAAAAAAAGAATGCCTAATAAGAAAGTTTCTTTAAAATACTTAAATAATTCACAAAATATTACAAGTGAATTTTTAAATGAGGTAAAATTTCTAATTCTTATTTAATTTAATTTAAAAATCCTTTATTTTAATAATTTATATATATATATATATTTATTTATTTTAGCTAAAAGGTGGTTTTGCTATAGTATATTCAGCAATATGGATGAATGGCCCATTAAAATATAATGAAAAGAAATACAATAGGAAGCCTGATAAAGAAGTTGCTCTGAAAGTTTTATATAATTCACAAAATATTACTGATGAATTTATAAATGAGGTATAAACTTTTCTTTGAATTTGATTATATATTTTTCTATATAATAATAATTTTTTTATTATTTTCATATAAGTTAAAGCTTATTATATTAATTATGATGATTGTGTTCTTAAAACATATGGTTTATCTCAAAATCCGGACACAAAAGAATATATTATGGTTCTTCAATATGCAAATATTGGAAATTTAAATAGTTATAATAATATCAATAGAAATTGGAATTGGGAAGAGAAAGTACTTATATTAAAAGATATTATTGAAGGACTAATGAAAATAAATATATTATTATCATTTGCGACTGATATTATTATCTCAGGTACTGGAAATAGTGATTTTTATTTATATATTTCAGATATGGGATTATGTGGAGATGTTAGTAATATAGATGAAACAAATACTTATGGAGTTATGCCTTATGTAGCTCCTGAAGTATTAAAAGGAAAGCCTTATACTCAAGAAGCAGATATATATAGTTTTGGTATGATTATGTATTTTGTAGCAACAGGAAGACAACCTTTTTCTAATTGTGTACATGATCATTACTTAGTATTAGATATTTGTAGAGAAGGAATTAGACCTGAAATAAGTGAATCGGAAGCACAAAAATGTTATATTGATTTAATGAAAAGGTGTTGGGATTCAAATCTAGATAATAGACCAAATGCTACTGAAGTAGCTAGTTAAATTTATTGAATTATTTAATTGACGAAAATGAAGAATTTATTGACAAAGTAGAAGAATATAGAATAGTAAATCTTTTACCTGCTGAAAATAGCCAATTAAATACCCATTCACAAGCATATTATACTTCTTGATTACTTAATCCATTTACTACTGAATGGCGTGAAGGCTTAGACTGTGCAATTGAAGATTAAGCTAAAATTAGAATATTATTGTTACTTTTGAAATCAACTATAATATTTTAAGGTAAGACAAAATATTGTAATAAGTATTTTACAGTACATGCGGCATGCCTTGATATTTATTATTTATGATTACATTTAATATCTTATATTTTGGTAATTAGGAATTAAATAATATTCTTACTTTATATATTATATTTTATTTAACATTGATTATATCATTATAAAATATGCTTAATGATACTAGCTAATATTCATTTTATTGTATGTCATTATCAAAATTAACTAGAAAACAAGTGCATGTTGGTATCTATTTTTTAATAAGATTATGATGGCCTTTAATCTTTGAGTCGGCCTATGGAGAAAAAGATTACAAAATATTCGTGAGGAGTGAAAAACTCATAATAAAATTCATTAATAATTTTTTTAATAAATAGTAACAATATGAATAACTTTTTAACACATTTTTTATAAGTAAATACGAAACTTTTAATAAATAAATATAAATATATAAATAAAATTAAAATATATAAATAAATATAAAGATATAAATAAATATGAAGATATAAATAAATATAGAAATATAAAATAAATATAAAGATAGTACAATTGAATATGTAGATTTCTTAAATTTTTTTTAATACTAAATAAATGTGAAGGTTCCTTTTTTAACAAACGATTTTTTTTTTAAAGGTTACCATAATTATTATCATAGTTAATAAGAAATTCTGGTTGGAATCTGGATCGGACTCTTATGCCGTCATAAATCAATTTAAATTTGTTAAATTGTCCTTGTATTGTATGGTTATTATGGTGCGATTTTATTGGTTTGAATGGAGAGATACTCAACAACTCTAGCGTCTCCCAGGGCAATTATGGACTTTTGTGACTCCAATCTAGAAGACTGTACTGCTAAATTAGGAAATTTATACAAATTTGTTAAATTTAAATCATAAATAATTCCTTCAATCTCCGATTACAAAATACCAATACAAATAATAAATAATTATATAATGAGAATAAATATATACTTTAATTTTATGTAATCTGAGCTTAATTATTTTCATCTGTAATAAAAAATAGTTTAATTAAAATTTAATGGATCAAAAAAAATCATGCAAAATTAATTACCTTTAGAATTAATATTAAGTTTAGTAAAATCCATTTTTAAGGAATCTATAAATATTAGTTGTTAGAATTGTAAAATAAAATTAAAATATTAGCACATTATATATATATACCTGAATATTCTATTCCATGTAAATCATCATTATTATTAGCATTTTTTGGTTCTGGAAGATTTTTAAAATCTAAAAGTCTACTTGTGTAAACTGCTTGAGGATGTGTCATATTTGTAATAGTACTAATAGATATTAAAGGTGATGAAAAAGATAACTTTTTATTAACTTCATCTGCTTCTTTAACTTGCCCATAAATTACAGAGTTCACTTTATTGTTCCCAATATCCATATGCAAATCATATATTAACTCTCGTAATTCATTTGCATTAGGTCGTTTTAAAGGGTCTGCATCCCAACATTGATTAATAATGTCAAAAATAAATTGAGGAATTTTATAATTAGACTTTGGCCTCAATCCCTTACAAATTTTCATTGCCAAGAATTCATCATGAGCTATATCATAATAAGGAGGGAAACCTGTACAAATTTCATATGCAATGATTCCAAATCCATAAATATCACTTTTTTGAGTATATTCTTTTCCTCTTAAAACTTCTGGAGCTACATAAGGTAATACCCCATATATTTTTTTATTATTATCTTGAAAAGTCTTTACATTTGCTGGTTGGCATAATCCCAAATCAGTAACAAAAGAATTTCGATTAAAATCGCTTAATATATTCCCACAATGAAAATCTTGATGAATTAATCCTTTATTATGAATATCTTTAAGACCAACTGCAATACAATATAAACTCCATAACTTTTGATTCCAATCCAGTAAAATAAAGTTGTTATTTAAATATTGTCTTAAGCTACCATTTTTTAATTCCATCACCATTATAAAATTATTTGTTTTTGGATCTTTGGTAATACCAAAACAACGAACTATAAAATCAGTATAACATGCTAAAATATTTGATTCAACCTTATAAGAAAATTATAGTTAGTTTAACATTTATAAAGGCTAATAATACTAAAATCAGTAAAAATTATCTTACTTCTTTTAAAAAATCTGCTGTAATATCTTGGGAATTATGTAAGCACTTTAAAGCGACTTTTGTTTCGCCTTTCCTTTCCAATTGATTATATTTGTTCCAAGGACCATCTTTCCAAACTGCTTCAAAAGTAGTTCCAAATCCCCCTTTTGCTAAATATTCAACATCATCAAATTTATCATATTCAATCCATTCTATGATTTTAGTATGACGTTCAGCTTTTAATTGTGCTTTTTGAATAAATTCATCAACGTCATGATTTCCACTTGTCCAATTTTTGAAATTCTGTTGAAAATATTGTGATTTACATAACCGACAATAATAAAAATCAGTTTTAGGCTGCTTACAAATTTCACATAAACCATATTGCATATAACATTCTTTTAACTTTTTGTCTGTTATTAATTTATCAATTAACGATTTTTGTTCTTCAGTTAAACACCAATGTTTGAAGTCTTTTATTTGTTCAATTACATCATCACTTAGTTTAATTTCATCCATTTTAATAAATAATTTATTAAACAATTTTAATTCGTATGTAAATTACTAAAAATAATTAAAAAAAAAAAGAAAAAATGATAAAAAAAATGGTGAAACGTTATTTTATGTTGCAATGATTTCAAGATCGGCAGCAAATTATAAAAAAAAAAGACTAGTTAAAATACACAAAGGAAACACAAAAATCTGATCGGCAATTAATTTTGGTAAATTTAAGACTCATAGGTAAGATTAAATGACGAAATTATGGCGTATCGTACAATTTCAAAAGCATGTAAAAACAACAAGTTCACAAGAAATTAACATTGTAATGCCGCAGTATACCTAGTAAATATATTAATTAAATGGCGCAGTATTATATTTAGAATTAGTGTATAAATTTTTAGTATTTTAAAATTGTATGACGTTACAAATGCAACGTCCGAGATGATGTTAAACTAGTAGATCATTTAGGAAGAGAATTAAAATTAGAATATTGATATTTTAAGAAGGAGATTTGAAGATCAAAAGAAAGAAAAATTCAAAATTTCAAAAATATAAAAAATGGCATGTTTGAGATGTGCGGTTTGATCGAGTATAAAATTTGAAGGATTTAAAATTTTCAGGTTTGGACATAAAAAGGGATAAAATGTTGAAATCAGTTCGCGGAGAAAGTATTTTCAAATTATTATAAAAAAGGGTAAAATTTGAGTTTGTGAAATAAAAGGATACGAATTTGGGATTTTATTTTTATCTGTATTTAGTATTGTTAAACCAAGCATTTATTTATATTATTAATAAAGTATTATTCTGTTAAGCCTAAGGTGGAAAACGTGATTTATCACGGGCTTAGGTCTTACAACATTAACATTTATATTCATTTCGAAGAAATAAAGCTCAAATTATATATTCTAAGTGTAATATTTTATATATTAAGTTCGAACTCTAAGGTCTATCAATAATTTCAATAATTCATTTGAACTCATTTAATATTATCCACATGTTATTTAAAGTTGAAATGTTAAGTCATTTTCGCTAATATAGTTTGACTATTAATATATAAAGTTTTGTTATTTTTAAATATCAAAAGTATCATTTGCAGTCTATATAACACCTTCAATTTCATATTTTCACTAAATTTTCATTTTAAAATGAATAAATCAAAGTCAAAACTAACATACTAGGAAACGGAAAAACCGTTATTAAGTCCGATGCTGTTTAAGGGTTTATTGTTGTACTTCGTCATGTGCTGGACGTACAGACGGACATTTTTGTGTTATCTTTGTATAGAAGTATATGAATATATAATAAAATAGTACTGTACGGTATTACAAATTTGGACAGTCGTTCGAAAAAATTTTTTAATTTTTCCGTACTCAGACGGATTATTAAAAATAAATTTTTATTTTCCGTACTAATAATATTACATCGTAGCATCATCGATAGAACTTTCGATAATGAAAATGTTACAATTACATAATATTTGAGTAATATAATTGATCTGATTAATTTATATATTTGTAATGTTATTATATATTTGTCATAAATATCTCTTTTTAATCTTTACTGCTTTGAAAAAGAAAAATAATTGTAAATATGAATATTCCGATGTTGAAGACTTTCCAATTGAATTGATAAATTCTAAATTTGAACAGGTTTATACAGTTTATATAATTATTATGACTTTATGAGTCAGTTTTATTATTATAGAGCTGAATATTATTAAAGAAATACAGTAGAAATATATAAGCTTATCTTCAAAGAGCATAATTGATATATTTATATTTTTAATATAAAGTATTTAAAAAAACAAAACATGTACGAAAATTCAAAATTGTACGAAAATTCAAAGTCGTACGGAAATTTTTAAAGCATTCGTACATACTATTATAAAAAAATTTATCTGCTAGAAACGTACGTACGAACAAAAGGATTAAAGTCCGTCTGAATTTGTATTACCGTACAGTACTACTTTACTTAATACCTGAAGTATATAGTCCTTTGTTACACTTTGGATTAATAAATCATCAATGAACGGAATAGTGTTTCAATCCGGATAAAACCTCAAATATTTTAACGTGGGATTATGATTAAAAAAGGATACAAATTTTGGCTTTGAGTGGACTATAATTTCGGCCAGAATTAAAATAATATTATTTCATAAATTTTTATTAATTTTGGTGGTCCCAGCCTAAATTAACCGAGCCGGTATCCAGATAAAAACCAGATAAAACCGCTACGGATTGAAACTCTAACACGGAATAATTTATTTTAATATATTATAAATTTTTTTTACTTTTTGTATTCACAATTCTTTATAAATTATTTTCATATATTAAGTTAATACCGATATCAATCAATAAAATTAAAAAATTCTTTCCCAAATTTCCAAATTCTTTTTTGGTTAGTAATAATCAACATTTGTAAAAGTTTAACTCAAATTTACTTTGATATTTATTTCGTATTTTTTATGGAGAATTTAAATAAAAAATCGTAATTTAGCAAAATTGAATAAATTTAATTGCCGATCAAGATTATTGTGTTTCCCTCTGTGTATTTTAACTAGTCTATATAATCTAGTATATAATCTAGTATATAATCTATATAATTAGTAACGTTCAGATTACCTGTATAAATTCTAAATTGTGCAACCTTACTGGCCAGTTATTATGTGACGTTAAACAAATTCAAAAAAGCGAAATTTATATGACGATCATATAATTCCAGCATTACAATCCTGGTGCGAAGCAATAGGGTTACAACTAGCCTTTTTAATAATTTTGTTGCCGATCTTGAAATCATTGCATAAAATAACGTTTCACCACTTTTTTTTTCATTTTTCCTTTTCCTTTATTATTTTTTAGTAATTTTTACATACGAATTAATAACATATTTTTTGTTTGAAAAATTATTTATTAAAATGGATGAAATTAAACTAAGTGATGACGTAATTGAACAAATAAAAGATTTCACCCATTGGAAATTGACTGAAGAACAAGAATCGCTAATTGATAAACTAATAACAGACAAAGAATTAAAGAAATGCTATAAAAGATATGGTTTATGTGAAAATTGTAAACAGCCTAGAACAAGATTTTTTTATTATTGCAATTATTGTATATTTCAACCAAATTTCAAAAATTGGACAAGTGGAAATCATGACGTTGATGAATTTATTCAAAAAGCACAATTAAAAGCTAGTTCTTACGATAAAATCATAGAGTGGATTGAATATGATAAATTTGAAGATGTTAAATATTTAGCAAAAGGGGGTTTTGGAACTACTTTTAAAGCAGTTTGGAAAGAAGGTCATATTAGTGATTGGGATTATAATAATAATAAATGGAGAAGAAAAAGTGAAACAAAAGTTGCTTTAAAGTGTTTGCACAATTCCCAAGATATTACAGCAGATTTTTTAAAAGAAGTAAGATATTTTTTATTGATTTTAGTATTATTAGCCTTTATAAATGTTAAACTAACTATAATTTTCTTTTAAGGTTGAATCAAATATTTTAGTATATAATGTTGGTTGGATAGTTCGTTGTTTTGGTATTACCAAAGATCCAAAAACAAATGATTTTATGATGGTAATGGAATTAAAGGATGGTAGTTTAAGACAGTATTTAAACAATTACTTCATTTCAATGAATTGGAATAAAAAGTTGCATAATTTACAAGGTATTGCATCTAGTCTTAAAGATATTCATAATAAAGGATTAATTCATCATGATTTTCATTGTGGGAATATATTAAACGATGAGCATGGAACGGCTTTTGTTACTGATTTGGGATTATGTCAACCTGCTAATGTCAAATCCTCTCAAAATAGTAATAAAAAAATATATGGAGTATTACCTTATGTAGCTCCAGAAGTTTTAAGAGGAAATGAATATACTCATAAAAGTGATATTTATGGATTTGGAATCATTGCATATGAAATTTGTACAGGTTTCCCTCCTTATTATGATATACCTCATGATGAATTCTTGGCAATGAAAATTTGTAAGGGATTGAGGCCAACGTCTAATTATAAAATTCCTCAATTAATTTTTGACATTATTAATCAATGTTGGAATGCAGACTCTTTAAAACGACCTGATGCAAATGAATTGCATGAGTTAATAATGAAATTATTTCGTGATATTGCTGACAATAAAGTGGATTCTGTAGTTTATGGGCAAGTTAAAGAAGCAGATGAAATTAATAAAGAGTCATCTTCAACAGTTCAATCACCATTATCATTATCATCTACTAGTGCTAGTCTTTTATATACAACACATCCCCAAGCAGTTTACACAAGTAGACTTTTAGATTTTAAAAATCTTCCAGAACCAAAAAATGCTGATAATAATGATTTTCATGGAGTAGAATATTCAGGTAAACACATATAGTTTTCTTATAATAATTTAAATAAGTTTTATAATTCTGACAATAATATTTATAGATTCTTTAAAAGTTGATTTTACTAAGCTTGATATTAATTCTAAAGGTAATTTCTTTTGCATGTGATTTTTTGGTCTATTAGATTTTAATTAAACTATTTTTGTTATTATAGATGAAAGAAATTAAAACACATTTAACTTTAATGGAAATATTTTGTATATAAAAAAAACACATCAAATTTAATTTTATTTTGAACTTGAAGATAGTCTGTAATATTATTTTGGGATATTTTATGGAAATATAGTAAGGCTGATAATTTATCATCTGAAAGATTGAAGATTAGCATTGTAATAAATTTATAAATTTTTTTTTATTAATAAATTTGATCACATTAAATTATCTAAAATTTATAATAAATAAATCAATTGTATTAATAAGTGTTAAATTTAATGTGAAAATTACTTTTTAGTGATGTCTTTATATTACAGAAAAGAACATCCACTAGAAGTTTATGTGTAAATTGTGGCTTGAGTATGTACGTTATATAAGAATGTTTTTTGCATTAAATAAATTATGGATTATTGCGAAATAAAATTATTTTTATATGATAGAAAGTATAAAATGAGATTTAAAATATTTGAAGTTAAATAATCAACTTAAAATTTTAGCTTTTTTTATTTTAGAGGTTGGAACTGATTAACGTTAATCGATTAATTAATTAACTATTAAGCAATAAGCCGATTAAAATTATCTAAATCATAATTCTCAAATTATAATGCAGCACAGAAATGATGAAATATCGGTCACATATTCTCCAAACTCAAATTTTAACAAACGAACTTTTTTATTGATGCTTTGATAATAAGATTATTAAAATATGAGTAATATAATTTTCAGCCAAAAACAGCTTCTAATTCAGTGTTCGGAAATGACCTGGTCATTTGACCATTTTTCGGATTAGGAGTCATTTGGTCAAATGACACCCCATCATTTGGCATTTGGCATTTGAATTATTCGCGAAATGACAAATGCCAAATGATTGGGTATCATTTGACTGTCATTTGCGTCCTTTGTCATTTGGTCATTTGTCATTAAAATATTTAAAGATTATTGGACAATTTATAATCACGTGATGTACAAAAAAGGAAGGACGTAATCGAAATAATCACAAACAGAATCAATTTCACCAAATTATTTATTTTTTACTGTAATCTGAAAATAATAAATAACACAACCATAATTATTAAAGTGATAATATCTGATATGTTATTTATTATATATAATTTTATTATATAATTATATGCATAAATAAATATTATGGCCATCTTATGATTAAATAAAGACAACAATTATATATAAAAATGGTGAAAAATGGGATCCACTACATGTGTTACAATTAAATATTTTATTGCAAAATCAATTAACTTTTATCTGTGTGGATAAAATGATCATTAGTGAAATAATTATAAGTGAAATAATCCTGTCTATAATAATATTATTAACAAATAATAACCTGTAAAAAAAAAAAAAAATCACGTGATTAAAAAATCTTTACTACTATTGGAACTTTTTTGATTATATATATTAAACCAATTTTGTTTTAATATTTTTGTTTTCTTAATTAAAATAAACAAAATAATTAATAAAAATTCTCAGAATATTTAATATTTTTCAAATGACTTAAATGACAGGTCATTTGAGTTGCAAATGACAAATGACAAATGACTTGTCATTTGAGTCATTTGTTCATTTCAAGTCATTTGCCAAACACTGTTCTAATTGGTTAAAGTTTTTTGATTATTTAAACCTCTTATATTTTAGAGTTTAAAACATGCACTTGCATTTTGAGTTAACTCATCAAATTAAACTTGCACTCAGAGATTCTTTTACATACTAAAAGAGTATTTATAGATTGATATAGTGACTTTAGCGTTTAACTACATTTTTACAATTTTAATTGTTTATAATTTTTACGAAATGTTTATATTTTTCATTAATTCGTATAATAAAGCCAAGAAATACTCGGCAAATAAAATGGTAGTGAGAACCTTTAGCAGATTAGATTTTTAATATCAAATTAATTAAAGGAGTAAGCAAAACAATGGCTAGGCGCCACAAAATCACGTGGGAAGAAAGTTTATAAAGTAATGATAACAGCTCTTTCACCATTTACTATTCCAGAAAGTACAAAGAGTGCAGTACATCATTATTACCGAATAGGAAAAAAAATAGGATCCGTCTTCTACTCTGAGAATTATTCCATGAATCCATGTTATGATTAATTATTTTTTTTTTCTGCAAATAAACATGAAAAGGTATTATAGGATTTTTGTTGGAAAATGGATTTATTCTATATCTGATATAAATAAATTATACTCTCTAATAAAAATCTGCGATGTGAAATAATTAAAATAAAATAAATTTTTGTATTCTGTGAATTTTTTATTTAAAATAAATGTTGCTAACTACTCATCCTATTCTATTTTTATTATTTAATAGAAAAAAAAGAAATTTTCATTATTTAAATTTTACGATATTTGTGAATCTGTAAATCTATATAACTGGTATGTAACAATGTAACATGAAAAACGCGTGATAGATCTATTCCACATTTGGTTGGTTTGCTGTCGGGTCATGTGTAAGTTCTGGGTTAATCATATTTCTCTCCCAATGACAGAATGTGGAAATTTTTTTCAAACCGAAATTTTTTTCATATTTTTTATTTTTTCGGACGACCTTGGCCGTTAAAACTGTCGTTGGGCTCCATCACTTTCGTCAATGGTGTCCGTCAGATCAGTTCATACTGAGGAAGAATTTTTTTTTTAATCCTTTTTTTTATTTTCAGTTACCGAAAATAAAATTTTTTAATTTTTTATTTACAGTTTTTTTTTTCAATATTCAAAATTTTTAATATTCTTTAAATATATATTTTCTCTTAAATTTTTTGTAAGTTCACTTGACTTCTCTTATTTAAAGTTTTCCCTTTTTTTTATTTTTTATAAAAAAGTATTTATTTCATTATTTTTAAAACTTTATGATTTAGGCTTTCTTTTTTTTTTATAGCACATTGGGTTTCTTTTTTGTAGGACCAAACTCTCGAAGACTTAAATGAATCTCAGACTCTAGATCAGTATGATAATATAGATAGACTCTGAAAAAATAAAAAATAAATTATAAATTAATTTAATACAATTTTTTCTTTCTTTTTTTGTAGCACACTGGATTTCTTTTTTGTAGGACAAACTCTCGAAGACTTAATGAATCCAGACTACTGGAAGTACTATATGGGGAGTTATACCTTCGATTGTATTAAAAAAATGTAGTAACATTAATTTGTTTTTTTGTTGTTTTAAACCGCTGAACATTCTGGAGACTTGAACGAACCTGGATTTAGTACTGTCACATTTAAATTCCATTGTTTACATCATTTCAAAGGCTAATTTTCTAATGAATTTCCTTTATGATAAAAAAATTTAATTTAAACCCCTAATAATAGAAACTATATAATAATAAAGAAAATAAAAATGTGGATTACTGATACATTAATATTTTTTTCTAATTTCCTAACAAAAAAATTTTTTTTTTTTTTGAATTTTCTAACGAAAAAAAAATGATAGAAAATATTTTCTTACAAAAATAAAAATTAATTAAAAAAAATAATATTTTCTGATTTTCTAAAAAAAAAAATGAAAAAAAAAATGTTTTTTATAATTTTCTTAAAATAAATTTTTCTAACAGAAAAACCGAAAAAAAATTATTTATTATTATTTTTTTTTTTTATGGGTCAATTTTACTACACGCTGGAAGTGTTTTACGACATAATACCTTTTAAGGTCTTTAACCAATAACGTCATAGATCATTAGAATATGAATAGTATTTAGGAGGTTTGTGATTTTTAATGCTAAATCACTTTGTTCTAGGGAGATGATTGCTCTTGCATAATTTACATAATTTTGGAATAATAGTAATATGCGAGTATAATAGAAAAAATTTACAAATATTTAGTGTTTATTGTAAGGAGCTCTGGAATGATTATACTACAAAAGCCCAATTTGTCGTACATAATTATTTTTTTTTTGAACTTGTTTAATATGCAAAGGAAAAAAAAAATTTTTTTTTTATCTTCCACTTTTGTGCAAATAATTTCTTCACTTTATTTCTGTTTCCTTTCTCGTTAGTTTGTACTTTCCATCATTATCTTTCATACTGAAATGTTTATATTTACGCCAAATACTTATAGATATCGATCATATGGATACAACTAAATAAGTAAATAATGATAAAGTCAAATGACTTTTTACCATAGAATCATGGTATATTCCACGAAAAAAGATCTAGAAATACTTTTCGTACCACCAATTTATAATTCAGATAAATAAAATACGTATCGACCCTACCTTTCAAAATTTTCAATTTCATTATCTTATTAATACTTTTTTTATAACTTATGCCACTGGCATAAAATTCATAACGAAAATTTGAATTATATTTATATTCTCACAGAAAAATCTTGAATTCTTTCTATTTCACTTTAAATAACTTTATTGGCTATTTAAAGTCTTCAATAAATGAAACTAATAGAGTAATCACTAAAAATAAAATAAAGTTTATTATTTGAAAAAAGCAAAAATTTTTAAAAATTCTATACAATAAACATATTCTTAAAAAAAAAACAAAACATAAAAAAAACGAATAAAAAATGTTTCTTATTTGTGATAAAAAATATTAGTAATTTTCTTGTTTTTTTTTGCTTACTGATTAAAAAGGTTAAAAATAACCACTGCAATTTCTTAATTTACCTAGCAGAAAAGTGATGGGAAAATAAATAGAGTGATAGGGAGATAAAGTGCTAACCTTATTATACTTCCATCAAATGAATAATAACACTATAATATTATCAGTTATCATCAAGTTTACAATAAAATAAATAAAATAACAAAATAAAAAAAATATGAATAAATTCTAGTTATTTTACATTTTGAAAATTTTCATTTAAAGTAATATGTGTTTCATCTATAATAAAAAAAATAGTTTACCAATTAAATTTAATAGATCAAAAAAATCACATGCAAAAATAATTACCTTTAGAATTAATATCAAGTTTACTAAAATCCATTTTTAATGAATCTAAAATATTAGCTGTTAGTTTTATAAAACTTAACTTATTATGACAAATTATTCATTATTATCATCATTTTTCGGTTCTGGAAGATTTTTAAAATTTAGAAGTCTACTTGTATAAATTGCTTGAGTATGTGTTGTATATAAGAGATTACTAGTAGATGATAATGGTAATTGAACTGTTAAAGATGACTTCATCTGCTTCTTTAACTTGCCCATAAATTACAGAATTCACTTTATTGACCCCAATATCCATATGCAAATCCAATATTAACTCTCGTAATTCATTTGCATTAGGTCGTTTTAAAGGGTCTGCATCCCAACATTGATTAATTATATCAACAATTAATTGAGGAATTTCATAATTAGACTTTGGCCTCAACCCATTACAAATTTTCATTGCTAAGAATTCATCATGAGCTATATCATAATAAGGAGGGAAACCTGTACAAATTTCATATGCAATGATTCCAAATCCATAAATATCACTTTTTTGAGTATATTCTTTTCCTCTTAAAACTTCTGGAGCTACATAAGGTAATACCCCATATATTTTTTTATTACTATTTTGAGAGGATTTGACATTTGCCGGTTGACATAATCCCAAATCAGTAATATAAGATTCTCGATCAAAATTGCTTAATATATTCCCACAATGAAAATCTTGATGAATTAATCCTTTATTATGAATATCTTCAAGACCAACTGCAATACAAAATAAACTCCGCAACTTTCGATTCCAATCCAGTGAAATAAAGTTGTTATTTAAATGTTGTCTTAAGCTACCATTTTTTAATTCCATCACCATTATAAAATTATTTATTTTTGGATCTTTGGTAATACCAAAACAACGAACTATATAATTAGTACAAATTACTAAAATATTTGATTCAACCTTAAAAGAAAATTATAGTTAGTTTAACATTTATAAAGGCTAATAATACTAAAATAAAAAATATCTTACTTCTTTTAAAAAATCTGCTGTAATATCTTGTGAATTATGTAAGCACTTTAAAGCGACTTTTGCTTCACCTTTTCTTTCCAATTCATCTTGATGATTCTTCCAAGGACCATCTTTCCAAACTGCTTTAAAAGTAGTTCCAAATCCCCCTTTTGCTAAATATTCAACATCTTCAAATTTATCATATTCAATCCATTCTATGACTTGATAATATTCCTTAGCATTTAATTGTGCTTTTTGAATAAACTCATCAACGTCATGATTTCCACTTGTCCAATTTTTGAAATTCTGTTGAAAATATTGTGATTTACATAACTGACAATAAAAAAAACCAGTTTTAGGCTGCTTAAAAATTTTACATAAACCATATTGCTTATAACATTCTTTTAATTTTTCGTCTGTTATTAATTTATCAATTAACGAATTCTGTTCTTCAGTCAATTCCCAATAATCGAAGTCTTTTATTTGTTCAATTACATCATCACTTAGGCAATACAAAGTGATAAAAATGGTTTTCATATCCCGGCCGGGTCAGTTTTTGTTAAGTCAAAAAAAAAATTTTTTATATTATTACTATGCCGGGTGAGAATTTTTTAAAAATTGAAAAAAAATTTCACATATAAAATTTTTGAAAAAAAAAAATTAAAAGCCGGGTTGCCGGGTTATTGATGTAATTTTTATATTATGAAAACCATTTTTACCACTTTGTGTCGCCTTAATTTAATTTCATCCATTTTATTAAATAATTTTTAAACAAAAAATATATTATTAATTCGTATGTAAAAATTATTAAAAAATAATAAAGGAAAAGAAAAAAATGAAAAAAAAGTGGTGAAACGTTATTTTATGTTGAATGATTTCAAGATCGGCGACAAAATTGTGAAACAAGACTAGTTAAAATACACAAAGAAACACAATAATCTGATCGGTAATTAAATTTATCCAATTTTGGAAATAAGGGTTTTTATTTAAATTTTCTATAAAATATTTTAAAATATAGGGAGTATTATGTAATTAAAAAGTTGTGAATTGCAATGAAATAAATTTTTTTCATAAGTAAAACTAAATTTATGAAAAAATAACTTCTATATTGAGAAAAAGGTAAACTGTATGTATATATTCGTTATTTTGAATATGAAAATTTAGTTAAATAGTTGAAATTGGCAGAGGAGCTTTTGGTAAAGTGAGTAAATCAAGTTTGGTTAATACAGGATTAGCGGCACTGTCAAGTATGAGCTTAATGAAATTAATACTAGGAAACGGGAACCGGAGCTTCGTCTGCGCGGTTTTAGTGGCGTCTGCGTTAAATTATAATTGTGACATTTAAAAAAAAAAAAATTTTAAACTAAATTTGCAAAAATCGGAACACAACTAAATTGCTTATATAATAAATTGTATTACATAATATCGCATTATTTGTCAATAAGTTGTACTACTAAGTTTTTTATTTTTTGTATCGAACATCAAATCACGTGAGCACGAAGTTTAAAATAGGCTCTTATTATAATAGAAATAGACTATACACGAATTTTAAGTTTTTTTTATTAATTGTTTAAAGAAAGATAACAATTGCAGATTATTTAGAACGTGAAATAACTAGAAAACGTAAAATTAGAGAAAACGAAACTGCACGAAGTGTCATGCATGTGACCGCGAAAGTAAAAGTAAAATAGAGCAGCTGAATCTCCAGAAAAACGTCAAGAGAAAGAAATCAAAAGAGGTAATGAAAGGCACTGAATAAAGAACGTATTTTGAAAGATGTAAATGAACGATCAAGGAAATGAATAAAGTTTGTATTTCAATAGTGTAACTTGTTATAAAATAAAATAATAAATGCAATTGTAAAAAATAAAAATAGCATTCCTCTTGAAATCGAATCACTTCTGACTCAATCATGAACTCTTGCAAAAATTTCGAGACGTAATAAATAAAATTGAGAAAACTTTATCCCGCTTACAACGAACGTTTTCCATCGATCAAATTGATCAGGGAGAGTGTCGGTGCTATTATAGTGATAAAACTATTCTAAAAAGATTTTCAAATGGTTTAAGAGTGAGACATTTCAAAAATTTTAAAAAAATAGCACAATTTTTTTTTCTGTTCTATCGACGATCGACCTAAAAGATATATAGATCAGCCAATCAGAATCGTCTCACGTGGCAGACAGACGGAGGTGGGGATCAACTTTTTATGTTGTACCGTACACTAGGGTGAAATCAAGAATCATATTAATTAACAATTTTTTTGGTAAATGTATACATTTTAAAAAGACGACAATGATACAAATCATCTAAAGTGGAGATTTCTTTACAAGGAAGTTGCCTCACTTGCCTGGTAGACCATATGATAAAATTATATAACAATTTTTTTCGGTCCTCTTTTATTGAATTAATCAGTGATTTTATATTCCTAAATAACGAAACATTTTTATTTAGTTCATTATCATGAATTCAGGATTTAAAAGTCTCATATAGATCATATAGATCATATAGATTTTATAGATTTTACTTTATGTAAGAATTCTTTAACCATCTGCCCAAATACATTATTAATCAATTTCGTTTATTTGATAAACATTTGATATTAAAGGAATAATATTTGAGACAAAGAGATTTAAAATATTTTTTTACAAGAAAATTTACTATAATATTGACCGTAATGCTTATGCTTGTAACTGAAAATTTTATGTTCGGAATGCAATTACTAAGATCTTAATAATGTTTGAAGTTTGCTTAATCAAAAAAAAAAAAAATAATAATAATAATTAAATCAAATCATTTATTATAAACCATTTTATTATTTTTTTATAAATAATGTTATAAAATTATATATAAGAAAATAAAATTTAGATATATCAGACTGCATAGATGTAAAATATTTTTGAAAAATAAAATCATTATAAATTTAGATATACTATTCCTTTTTATTTTGTTTAAAAATAAAAATTATTTTTTAAATTAAAATTGAAAATTATCGAAATATTTGAACATTTTTGAAACATTTTCTTTTTAATATAACCAAAAATAAAGCTTCAAGAATAAAAATGTAGTTTGTTTTACATTTTCACAATATATACTTTGACGTTTAACAAAAATAAAATTTTTTATTGCTCCATAATGATATTAAATACAATTAGTATTAATATGGTTAATTTTTAGGCTAAAATTTTATGTGTATGATGATTTATTTAATATAATAATATATTTTTTAATCATTGCGTGAATTTTTAAAAATAAAACTTGTTATTTTGCTATTCTAAATAATATTTTTCAATGACTATAAATAGACCAAACTTAACCATACTCTAAGATAGGACACATAATAGTTTAGTTTTAGAAATCCATTATTAATTGTATTTATTGTTGAGAAGAATATATTGAGATGCTTTATTCTCGTCAAAAAATATTGCAAAAAATGTTCATCACGTTATATTAATGATATAGTAACTGATAATAATATATACTTGGACGTGTATATTTACACTATGAACTTAGAATGTAGCGAACATGAAAGTAGGACAAGCAAAAGTACCACAAAGTATTCAAGAATGCTGTGGAAATTGTGTGAGAATTTTATTCTTTAAACAATTATTTTGATCTTATGATGATAGTCCTAATAGATCCTTTTTCGATTTCAATGTAGTTAACAATCCCAATATATACACCAATCGCAATATACGCGATAAAGTGATTGAAAGTGAAAGAAATTGTAAATTATGTGGAAAATTATATCGAGGAACTTATACTTATAGACGGAATAATAAGGAGCAATTCAGATTATGTCAGATTGTTATCTGATTTCTTCTGGATCGATAAAGTCAACCTTAGTTAAAAAGCAAATTTCTATTCTTTATTATATTGGATGCAGATATGATTGTTTAACAATAAATATTATTTTTGGACCTATAGTTCAATCACAATGTAAAAAATGTAAAAGAACATCAAATATCATAAACAGTAGTACAAAAAAGAGATATTGATGATTTTTTCTTTATAATGTTTATTTTATATTTTTAACAAAATAAAAATACAAATTGAGTCCACAAATATTGAGGAATATTATAAACCAGCAAGTGATATAATATATTATATTTTTGGAAAAGTAAATATTAAAGGTAAAAAATGGATACCATATTCTCAATTTACAAATATTAAAGAAATAGCAAAAGGAGGATATGGTATTATATACAAATCAACTTGGCCAGCATATAATAAAGAAGTCATTTAAAAAAAAACTTTGAAAGATCTAAATATATAGCAAATATTTCTTAAGTGAGGTAAAATATTTTAATATAATTTCTTGATTTTTAATTTAATTTAATCTCTTTATATTTGATATTTGAAAGTATGTTATTAGATTTTAAAAAATATAATGCTTGTGGTATCATTGATACTTATGGCTTTACAAAAGAACCTATATCAGAAGATTATATATTAGTTATGAAATATGCGGCAGGAGGAGATTTACATAAATATTTACAGGAGAATTTTATAAATATTACATGGAATAAGAAACTGAAGGTATTTTCAAATAATTAAATGACGTAACTAATTATTAGGATTTATTTTTTTATTGTCATCACAAAATTTAAGTTCCACGATGCAAAATACTTTAGCAACCTCTTAAAGAGAAGAAATGATGTATTTTCCAGTATTATTTGGCTCGATACCATATTATTCTATTGATAATTTATCTTTTGTTTTAATATTCACGTTAATATTTAATTTTTTTATTTAGATTAAATTAGCGCAGATTACGAATATTATAATTATTGTATATTTTTATTTTAAAGTAATTGTGTAACTAATTAACGTATGAACAAATAAATACTTACTTACTATAACTAATATTCATTTTAACGTTAGTAGTATCAATAAAATGAATAATAATAAAACACAACAAGTTAAATCCAAATATAAATGTTTTAACAAATAAAATATTTGGTAATTAAAACGAAATAAGATTAAGTTCAGAAATTCATTTTTATTATTCAGAAATTCATTTTCATTATTCAACAATTTTTTTTTTTTTTTTTGCTTGATAATTAGCTCAGTTAAACCTTTATATTTTATTTGTAAAATTCAACTTTCCTTTGATCTCCAAATTTGTTATCAGCATCTAAATTTAATTTATTTATTCGATCTTGTAATTCTTTATACTGCACCAATATAACTTTCATATTTAAAACTTTTATAACTTGTGGTTTCTCTTTTTTGTCTTGTGCTTCTCTTAATTCTTCTTCATAGACTAATGTTTCTTTTTGATGTACTTGCAATTCCTTTTTTTTTATTTTGACTTTGTTTATTGCTTTTTATTTTCCATTTCTCTTTAATATTCTTTTCAAAAATGATTAATAAAAAAAAAAAATAAGACAAAGTATAATGTTGAAAGTGTTGATTAATATATATAAAAGAAATATTATCACATCATCGCTGTTTATATGATATTATTACTTTATTTTTAATAAAGATGTGTAATAATTTATGCAATCTAATAATAGTAACGTGGCACTTTTAATTAATTTATGCAACCTAATAATGGTAATGTGGCACTTTTAATTATTTATGTAATCTTAATAGTAATCAATCTTTCAATTGTTTGAATTATTTTGAAATACTTTAAAACAATTTCAAATTTCCGAATTATCTTTTGGCTAAATATTTAACTTTTTAAAGCGAATTGAATATGATAAAAGGACTAAAAAGCTTCCTTAGTTACATTAAATAAATTAATAAATAAATAAAAAATAGAATTTATATTGACAAGTAATGAACGATACTTATAAAAGTTTATCCCAATTTCATATGTGTGTGCATTATTTAAACATTTTATTTATCTATTTTGACATTAATTACCGATTCAAATATTATTGTGTCATTCTGTGTATTTTAACTAGCCTTTTTTTGATAATTTTGTTGCCGATCTTGAAATCATTACACCATAAAATAACGTTTCAGACTTTCAGTCGTTTCACCACTATTTTCTCATTGATTTTTTTCTTCACTTTATTATTTTTACATATGGATTAATAACATATTTTTTGCTTAATAAACTTATTTATTAAAATGGATGAAATTAAACTTAGTGATGATATAATTGAGCAAATAAAAGATTTTGATCATTATCTCTTGACTGAAGAACAAAATAGAGGTTGGAACCGACCAAAAAAACCTTAATCGATTAATAATCGATTAACCAAGGGCCCTAATCGATTAATAATCGATTAATATTAAAATATTAAAAATTTTTTTTTTTTTTTCGCAGAGATGTGTATAAGAGACAGGTCTTATTTATTATTATTATCATTAAAAAATTAATACAAATTCTTCCAAGTTCGGAGAACACGTGACCAAAAATTCACAGCTCTGGGCCGCATTAGATAATTTGACCAGAATTATGGGTTGATAATTTTAATCGATTAACCGATTTTTGAGATATCTTAATCGATTAACCGTCTTAGTCGATTAATTAATCGATTAACCTTAATCGATTCCAAACTCTAGAACAAAAATCGTTAATTAATAAATTAATAATAGAAAAAGAATTAAAAGAACATTATAAAAAATATGGTTTATGTAAAATATGTAAGCAACCTAATACTGATGATTATTATTGTCGGTCATGTAATTCTAAACGTTTTCAACAAAATTTCAAAAATTGGACAAGTGGAAATCATTACATTGATGAATTTATTCAAAAACTCAATTAAAAGCTAAAAATAGTCGGTCAGTTATAGAATGGATTGAATATGATAAATTTGAGAAGGTTGTATATTTAGCAAAAGGGGATTTGGAACTATTTTCAAAGCAGTTTGGAAAGATGGATATATAAAGATGAATTATAACGATAAACAATTGGAAAGAAATGGTAAAATAGAAGTTGCTTTAAAAAGTTTACATAAATCACAAGATATTATAGCTGAATTTTTGAAAGAAGTAAGATATTTTCTTATAAATTTTTAGTATAATTAGCTTTTATATATGTAATCTAACTGTCTTCTTTTAGGTTGAGTCACATATTTTAACACGCAGTCATTCATGAATAGTTCGTTGTTTTGGTATTACTAAAGATCCGAAAACGAATAATTTTATGATAGTAATGGATTTAAAAAAAGGTAGTTTAAGAAATTATTTAAATTATAATTTTAATTCATTAGGTTGGAAGGATAAATTGAATATTTTATATCGTTTTACAATTGGCCTTGAGGATATTCATAATAGTGGATTAATTCATCATGATCTTCATTGTGGCAATATATTAAGCGATTTTGATCATGGCGCTTTTATTACTGATTTGGGATTATGTCAACCAGCAAATAATATGGAACATTCCCAGAGTGATAATAAGAAAATATATGGAGTATTACCATATGTAGCTCCAGAAGTTTTAAGAGGAAAAGAATATACTCAAGCAAGTGATATTTATGCATTTGGAATTATTGCATATGAAATTTTCACAGGATTTCCTCCTTATCATGATATAGATTATGATGAATTATTGGCAATGAAAATTTGTCAAGGGTTAAGACCAAAATTCAACTATAAAATTCCTCAACTAATTATTGATATAATTAATCAATGTTGGGATGCAGACTCTTCAAAGCGACATAAAGTAGACAAGTTAGTTGAGTTACATTTTGATTTATTGATAAATTTGAATAAAGAAGATTCTGTAATCCATAAACAAATCGATGAAGCAGATGAAATTAACAAAAAGTCATCTTTAATGGTCCAGCCGCCATTATCATTTACTAGTACACTCTCGTATATGACACATCCTCAAGCAGTTTATACAAGTAGACTTTTGGATTTTAAAAATCTTCCAGAGCCAAAAAATGCAGACAATAATGATGATTTACTTGGAATAAAATATTCAGGTAAACATACTATGTAACTTCATATAATGATTAAATTAATTTTATAATGCTAACAACAAATATAAATTTAATAGATTCTTTAAGAATAGATTTCACTAAACTTGATATTAATTCTAAAGGTAATTAATTATTTTATCAGTGTGATAGATATTTTTTGATATATCTAACTGTATATTATTTTATTATAGATAAAGTATTTAATCACATTTTACTTGAAATGAAAATATTTAGAATATAAATAAGATATAATTTTATTCGTTTCTAATATCTTATTTTAAACTTGGTGAGAAATTGAGGATAATGTTATAATGCTATTCTTGGACATTTGATTATTGGAAATTATAATAAGGCTTATATTATTAATTGTTCATATCTGAAAAAATTTTTTATGTGTCGAAATTAACATTGTAGTAAAAAATTGGTTTCTTTCTGTTAATAAATTTTGATTACAAGAAGTAATAATAACAAATCAATAATATTTCATCTGTGTAAATAAGTATCGTGGCTAATAAACAGTTTGCTGTAAATAAAAATACCTTGTTTAGTGATAGTACTTTTATTATTACAGTAGAATAACTATTAATAGAGATTAATATACACTATATTGGATATTATTTTCTTACATTATATAAATTATGAATTAATGTGAAATGAAAATTATTCTTTGTAATTATTCCTTACGTGATAAAAATATATTAAAATATTTGAAGTTGATAATATCAGAAATTTGACTTTTTATTTAGAGATTTGAATCTAAAACTAGGCTAACCTTTTACATGATATAATAATATTTTCTATAAATTTTCAAACTCAGTAATGATTTATTCAGATATGATTTCGATCATCTTAAAAAAATAATATGATTTAACTGGAGAACTTTTAATGTTTGTATAACAGTATAAATATAGTATTAAACATTTTCAACTAATAATTTTTCAAATCTATCATTATTCAATCCATTCTAGAAGTTAAAATATTTAGTCAAAAGAGAATTTGAAAATTTGTAATTATTTTAAAGTAATTTAAAATGATAAATGTAATTTTCCTTTTTTCAATCTTTTTGCTAAATTTGTTAAATTTCTGATATTTGTATAATGTTGTTATATGAATTAATTCATGTCAATTGGTCAAATTACTGTTAAGTATATACAATACGAATAATTTTATTTTTCTTTGATCAAATAAAGTCATGTTGCTACATTGTATAATAAAAATAAAAAATTTATAAAAAGATTTACTATAATAATGTAATAATAAAAGTACTGAAATCAAAAAGAATTTATATAAGAAAATGAAATAATATATATATAGTAAAAAGAAATACTATGGTGTGTGTCACCTATAAACCACAAAAATTTCATGTGACTTTAAAATTTTATACGTTAAGAATTAAGCAGTAAAATACAAATTTAAACCAATAAATTAATAGAATAGCATATGCTGAACATTTCTATCAGTTTACTTTTTAAGAATTAATATAAAAATTTAATTTTATTAAGTCTGAAAGTTCAAGAATAAATCATATAATCTATATGGAAAAAAGGAAAATTTCAGACTGGTAATCAGGATAAATGTTACGTGAATTTCATATGAAAATGGCATTTTTTTGATTAATTTCACCACGCAACAACAATGACTCATCCATTTAAGAGAAAACCCAGTGGAAAAGCAAGAGCAGATACAAGACAATAACAGGAAGTTTACAAATGACCAAGGCTATCTGATGGATGTGATGAATTAGGTAATGAGTGGGGTGATGAAAATGACAGTGGATGGGATGAAGAGTTTAGTTTATTAAACGAACCCTATAAAAAAAGAAAATTCAGAATTTGTCTGAAAAGTATGGAAAATGTCCAGAAATTTTCTGTGTGCCCAGAAAACATTTGGAAACGGTCATGTTTTGGAATATTTTCTGGATGCTCAATTCTGGACAAATTCTGGAGTGTCAAGAAAATGACTGGAATTTGTGCATCTGGAAAGTGTTCCAAAACGTGACCGTTTCCAAATGTTTTCCAGACGCATAGAAAATTTCTGGACATTTTCCATACTTTTCAGGACAAATTCTGAATTTTCTTTTTTTATAGGGGAAAAAGAAGCTTTTGAAGATAAATCTCTTGTTAAACTGGTCAGATAACATCCACTTGGAAAAAAAAATGGGACATATCTTATGGGGAAAATAAAAAAATCCACATATTTTGATAAATATGGACCAAGTGGTTCCTTTATGAAAGCTGCAAAAGGAACCATAAAAATATCAACTTTCATGAATAATAAACCAATACTGGATGGTTTTGAAGACGTACTTGATGATATGGATGAAGAAAAATGAAATCAACTTGATATGGGTGAAAGAATCAAAAATTTAAATACTAACCTTAAAGAAAAGCAGAAGATTTAAACAGCTGCTGAATAACAGGACACATGCAATATATGAGTATTTGAAAAGATTAGGTAAAAATGGAAAAGGAAAGATGAAAGCCAGCAAAGAAGCCGCACAGTTGATTTTTATTGATTGTGTACCATATAGAGCAAGATCAATTCAATACTGGGCAAATTTCTGGCTTCAGCATAATCATCTTCCAGTAAGCTGTCAAGGAAAGTAATAAAAAACAATATGATTGATAGATGATAAAGATATAGCAGAAGAATGCCATATATGCTTTACTAAAAATGGCCAATTTTTTGAAATATTTTTATAGACCTAGATACAATGGCTTTCAAAACAATTGTGCAATTATTTTGTAAAATTTTTAAAATATATAAAAATATATTTAAAATATTTTTGAAATTAAAATATTAAAATAATATCAAAGTTAATTATATTATAATAATAAAATAATAACAAAAACATTAAAAAATTATCGTGATATTATTTTGAGTTATTTTTATAGACCTAGATACAATATAATTACAAAATAATAGCAAAAATATAATAAAAACATTTTGATGTATTAAATGTAAGATCTCTTTCAGTTGATCGATATCCATAATTGGAGAATCCAATTATAGTCAGACTTGGCCACGATTCTCCATCAAGATAATACAACAAGCTTGGTTCAAGATAATTATAAGAATGGCATAATGAATAAATCAAAAAAAAGAGTAGTTAATAACACACCTTTCGCATGAAAAGTCCATCCTGGCCTCTTGTATTCATGTATTTTAATTAAATGTTCTTTTCCATAATTGGCAAATATCCAAATAAAATTGTTTTTCTAAAAATGTATAAGCTTGTTGCAATTGTCTAGGAATGGGTAGGCATATTTTATGCTTTATTTTTTTTTTGAAACATCTGCTACTCTAATCTTATATTCAATATTAATTTTACATTTTTACTTGCTTATATCATTGAAAATGAAAATAAATAAAGTTTTACCGAATTGGCATATCGATTAAAGTTATCTTGCTCTTTTATTGATATTATAATTGTTTAAATGAATAAAAAATATAAAAATTATTTGTAAAATCCCAATCAGCTTAACAAGTAAGAGCCAACCATCCTATATTTTTTTAATTTTCCACCTTTCTTTTTTCAAATTGCATAATATTCATAAATCCCTTACCATATAAATATTTTCTATTGAAATAGTATTTAAATGTAAAATAAGTCCTTCTCAAGTAATGTTATGCTTTATCTATAAGAAGCAAATGAAAAGATAATACATACTTATAAGAAGATGAAAAATGAAATAATGATAAAAATTAACATGATAGAAATGAATCACCAAAAAATAAAACAAGAAATAGAAGTAAAAACAGAAGAGCAAAAAGAAAGGTATTAGCAGATATAAAAAGAAATACAGGAATTCCTAATAAATAGTATTATTTATGATTTTATGATGCAATAATATTTTTTAACAATTAAGAAAAGATTACAAACAAAAAATACAAGAATTAAAGTAATGATTATGAAATATCCACCATCATTGTTACTATTAATAATCAAAATGTATTAGTTTTTATACACAAGTGAATCTAAGCAAACACTCACATGAATTATAAATAACTTTTTAATAACTCACTTTTTTAACCTTAAATTCATTTCTTTCTCTCCAAACTCTTCATCAAAATTTAAATGAAAGATGTCATCTCCATAAAATGTGTGAAAACCTACTTTATTTGCATTTAGAAATGACATTCCTATAATACATATATTTTCAAAATGTGAGTGTGACATCATTGCTTGCACTCTTTTATTATTAATGTTAACATCAATATAATCATTTACAGGATCAGCCATCTCAATTCCAAATGAATGTAACACTTCACCACTGATAAAAGTTGTTGGAGATCCAATATTAACAAGGAAGATTACCATTTTGATCTTATTTTTTATTCTAATTGTTGTTGCACAGAAGAGATGGAGGTAAATACCATACATAATTCCAGTAATGTTTCATTCCAATTCATTTGGAACTTCTGAAAGGTACTTGACATTTAGTTTTCTTGGTATAATTTTATGTATATCTTCTGCATCAATGTCAGTTAATAAAATATCAAAATTTCTTGTATCATAAGAATCATTAATGTCAGTCATTTTATAAAAAGTTTAAGAAAGAGTTATACTTGAAATTAAGAGAAAAATAATAAGAACAATTATATATTATATATTTTCATGTCAGATGATGTCATTCTTTAATTGATAGTCTGATATGTCAAGTATACCAATATGCATCACATTAATGATTCAAAAGTATATAATCAATATTTCCTTTATTTTCTAGTAATTACTGTCTATTAGTAATATTATTATTATTCATACTTTGTATTTAATGATTTGAGATTCTGACCCAAAGTTTGTCAACAATCAGATTTAATTTTGAAACAAGTTTGAAATTAATACAATTTCCACCAAGTTGGAAAGTAATTTAGAGTAATACTAATATTAAAGATTTACTCATTTTCAAATAGAAATATGGTATTTTTTTTCTGAGAAACAGTTATAATGTGGAAGCATTATAGTTTATGTTTCCACATTTTGCAGAACATAAAATAAAAATAAAGAATATTATCACTTATATAATCATATTAGATATTTACAATAAGAATAGTTAAGAGTAGCTTATTTTACACTAGAAAAGTAAGATTTGATTTGAAGTACTTTGCAAAAACCCAGTATTTTGTCACTTAATTGTTAAGTGATTATCATGAATAGCCATAAATTTGCATTGATTATATAACTGCATATTATATTGGAAAAATAGCCACAAATTGTAAAAACAATCATTATTGTTCATAACTAATTAGTTTCAAAATCTTATAAAATTATAACATTTATTTTAAAAATAGCAAATATAGTCAGAAAAAGTTAATTTGAAGTATCTTTGTGATGTGTCAGGAGAAAATTGACAATGTATTGACAAATTTACAACAATTTTTTAAATTTTTTACAAATGTAATAAATTAATAAATGTGATTGATTTAATAACTAACTTTTTAAATGTAAATTCTTTATCAAAAAAAAAGCCCCTCCTATTAAAAAATAATTCTTTAATGAAATACTTTATCAAAAAAAATAAAATCTCTTCCGTTAAAAAATTTTCTAACAAAATTATCTATCAAAAAAAACCAAAATTCTTTAATAAATTTTCTATAAAGAAAAAATTCTCAATGATTTTTTTGCATATTACTAAATATCTTTTTTTATTAAATTTAATATATAATACTTTTTTTGTTATTTTTTTTCGTGTTTGAAAAGGTGATATTATCAAAGTCGTGATATGTTTTAAACCCATGATAATCAGTAAGATGCTAATATAGAACATTCATTGTATATGTTTCATTAAAAAAATTAAAAATTAAAGGAACTTTAAATGAAATTCTGCACATTCATAGGCCTAAAATTCCGGCCACTTAAAGAAAAGAAAAAAGAGCTATTTAGAATTGTTTGTTAAATAAAAATAAATGAAAAAATAAATGAAAACTCACGGAAATATCATGTTTGGAAGACTGTTAGAACCATCCAAAAAATAAAAAATTTGAAAAGTATGGGAAAAGAGATAGAACAAAAGAAAAATGAGAGAAAGGAAATAAAAGAATGAGAGAAAGAAAAGGGAATGAAAGAGAGAGGGAAAGATATGACAAGAGAAGAAAAGTGGAGACTTTGTTAAAAAAAAAAAGTTTAAAAAAGTTACTTTTATTATTAACTGAGTAAATATATTATATCACGTGATGCACATGATGCTAGTTCGCCTTTCAATAATTTTACGTTAACAAATACTGGAAGTGGAAAAAGGTGCAAAAGCTATTGATGATTATAGAAGATTTCATAAACATAAAGATGAAAAAAAAGAGAAAAAAAAAATGATGATAATAAGAAAGATAATTGAAAAATATTTTTGAAAGAGTTTATAAAAGAACGAAAAAGGAAAAAAAAAATAGTGATAAAAGTTTAAAAGTTTCAAGATTAGCTTAAAAAATTTAGGTTGTACAAATTATGTAATCATGTAACGAAATTATTTTTAGTAATTCTATACATACAGTCTTCAGTTATAAATTATACACAAATTTATGTATATTTAATATTTTTGTATTAGTTGACATGGAAGCTACTTTATTTAACTAATGGCAAATTTATACTATCTTATAATAATTTACAATGATATATAAATCAAAATTGATGAAAGTCTAGCAAATCATATGTTACAAACTCCTTTAATTAAGTAAAATAGTAAACCTCTATTACAAAAAATTCATTAACAAATATTAAATATAATTGTTAAACTGTTGCTCGTACATGTATTTTTAAATAACTTAACATTTTAGATTAGGCTGTCCATATATGAAAATGATGTTAATTTGTATAATTAATGAAATATCCTTGTTGTACTACAATTTGATAAAATTAATTCATATTGCATAAGTGCGTTTGTAAATCTTTAACTGTTAAAGAAATATAGATATATTAATAAAATTATTTTATATATTGTATACATATAAAATATTTGCATAACACTTATTTAATCATAAATTATATATAGAATAGATATTACATAGACTCTATAAAAAATACAACTCCTGGTTTTACATAATAATAATAAATAATATGCGTGACATAATTAGAAAATTTTCCTATCTTTTAAGTATATAATAGATTTAATGTTAGTAACTTCTACAAATAATTACAATAAAGTCATAATATTTGTAATTTTAGTATCATATGGCATAACATTAAAGCAATAACTGAATATATATTAGTCATACTATTAAATATCATTATGACTTAACTGAATCTAAAATGGGCACAGTTTTTGTCAGAGTAAATTATATTGACTACATATTAAAGCCGTCAAATAAATTATTAGTGATTTTATGAAATATCATGTCATTTAAATTGTATATTACAGCGATAATAGAAAATTCATTGAGAGTCATGTGATAAAGCGAATCATGAGATGAAATAATTTGGTAACCGATTAATGATGCATATCAACTAATAAATGATACAATGTATATCTAAAATGATAATCTTCCCGTGTTTCATTTTTGTATAATTTTTTTTTATACCAATAATGAGTCTGACTAACATAAAATGCTTAATTTTTTTCGCATTAAAATTACAGTCCAAATCATAATGCTAAAATAATATTGCTATATATAAGTCCCTTATGGAGACAATATTGTCCTTGTTGTTGTTAAAAGTTTAACAACAAGAGTCTCTCTTAATTTCTATAAAATGATTGAACTCAATGATACTTACGGCCCAAGAAAAAATTCCAACATTTTACTGACCGATATTGATACAGACGACGTACATACTTGTATACCAAGTAAACTAAATATTAAGTACCTTGCGAAAGCCCCAAATGAATTGAATGGGAACATGAGTGGGATTATGTACGGTGTTAACCTCCGCCTTTTCTGCGCGACAACAATCAAGATAAAAAATAAGATTAAGATGATAATCTTCCTCGTTGATACTGGGTCCTCAGAAACCTATATCAGCGAGGAAGTGTTACGCTCATTTAGAATTGAATTAGCAGATCCCTTAAATGATAGTATTCACGTCAGCATAAATAATAAGGGAGAATGGGTAAAGATGTCCCACTCGAACTTTAAAGATATTTGCATTTTAGGAATGAGATTCCTAACTTCAAATAAAGTGGGTCTCCACGCATTTTGTGGAGACGACATCTTTTATCTAAATTTCGATGAAGAATTAAAAAGGTGAGTCATTACAAGGTTATTTATAATTCATGTGAGTGTCTGCTTAGTGTATTTTAAATTAATATATTTTGATTATTTTTTATTTAATAGTAATAATGATGAAGTTATTGGTGGATGTTTTATGATTATATTTTTAATTCTTGTATTCTTCACCGAATATTTAAATAACTTTCCTTGATTGTTAGAATTATATTGTATTAATGCATTAACTATATATTAGCAATATTTCGAACCTGATCATCCTATCTTTTTAATTCCTATTTAATTTCCCACTCGAAATGATATTCCTCAAAGACTTATAGTTTATTTGTTCTTAGATATTTTTATGTTATTTAATTATTTTGTGTATGTTTAAAATCACTAGAATAAATCTTTGCAACTCTTGAATGAGCTGAGTTTTTTTGAATGAAAGAAATAATATTAATAAAAAATGTGAAGAAATATACCGTATATTGTAGTATTTATTTACGATTTTACGATATAATAACTTTTCATAATATGATTTAAATTAATAGAATCTGAAATTATTTTTATATGCCAAAATATATTTTAAAAGTTAAATATGAATAAAACATAATTGTGATATATTTAATACATGCCAAAATAAATGCTAAATATAAAATAGTATAAATAATGTGAGCGTGAATAAAATATATTCGAAATACGGTTTTTATATACCAAATCTTATTATTTTATATAATTTTATTCAATTTTTTTTTAATATATTATAATAATTTAAATCATATTTTAATTTATTAAATTAAATGACAGATTCTTTATTTATGCGAATTATGTTTATTTCGTTAAGAATTTTTTTTAATAGGAGGAAGTTTTCCTTGATAAAGAATTTCTTTTGGGAATTTTTTTTAATAGGTGAAAGTATTTTTGACGGAGAATTTTATTAGAGAATTTTTTTTAATAGGGGGATTGTTTTTGATAGAGAATTTCATTAAAGAATTCTAATTTTTATAAAATTTTTTAAAATTCAAAATTCTTATTAATGTGTCCGATTCTATTATGAATTTTGATTGTTATGTCACATGATTGTTGATCATTTTTGTTTGCGTCATTAATTTTGAAAGCCACTATAAAAAATACAAATAATGAAATTTAAAAAATACTCAATATAACACTATAAGATGTTAAAAAGTATGCCAAAAGCATAAAAGAATATTTACGGACAATATTCCAAAGAGCTTTCAAACTGTTTCGTCGCTCAGTAATATCAATTTTTAATTACACAATAGTGATTCTGGTTTAACTGAAAAATTAAATTAATTTTTGTATACAATACACATTTTATATGTAGAAATTTTTAAATGAAAGTCTCTTTATAATGAAATTAAATTTTTTATTGTTAAATTTATCATTACGAAAAAGAATCTACTATAGATCTTAGTGATTTAACAAGTTAAACATATTCAACAACGCTCGTTTTTTGTTTTAATTATAATTCTGTTAAAACAAATCAGTTAAGTTTATTTATTCATTGTTTATCAGAATTTATTATACACATTTGTTGTTATTTATTGGTAATATTTATTTAAATAAAGTATACACCTTAAATTTGCATATATATTCGTTCTACACTTTGTTTTACGCTCCAAATAATTATAAATTATTTTGTTACTGTCACGAAAATGTGAAGAAAAGTGGTGGTAATAAAATTCATTTTATGGTAAAACTTGATTTAGCTGGAAAATGAAATTAAAATTAAATAATAGGAAATTAAAGATCAAGATATTATTTTTTTTTTTTGTATTATTAAGTACCAAATGTTCTAAAGTTTTGGAGTCACGTAATTTTCTATTTCGTTATAATAAATCTGATATTATAATAATTTAAGGCATTATACTTAGTCAAATAATACCTTTAGAATTAATGTTGAACTTGATAAAAATTATCTATTTTTTAGGGATTCTATAAAATATAAATGCAAAGTTGTTAATACTATGAAATTAATTTAATATATATTGAATGATAATTAGTACCTGAATATTCGTTATAATCATTGTCATTTTTAAGTTCTGGAAGATTTTTAAAATCTAAAAGTCTACTTGTGTAAACTGTTTGAAGATTGTGTTGTATATGAGAGATTACTAGTTAATGATAATGATGGTTGAACTATTGAAGGATATAAATTTCGTTAATATCAATTGCTTCTTTGATTTGCTCTTTAATTGCAAAATTTCTCATTTAAGTATCGTATTCCATCCCTACAAAAAATAAATGTTCGAAAAATGTTGGCGAAAATGTCTGAAAAATATTTAGTTATAATTCTGCATGTCCGAAATATCCATTTTTATCTGTCCTGAACTGTCTCGAATATTGGTATGTCCAGAAATTGTCCTAAAATTTTCACATTAGACAATTCTGGACGGATCAACAGGCTATATTCCGGACATGAAATCAAATCAGACAAATTCCGGACAATGAAAACAAAATTCAGAAAAATCTTGACAGTATTTCTAAAAAAGGATAAATTAATTTAATTGATTTTCACAAAAAAAAATGTAAAAATATCAAAACTGACATTCAAAACCTTTATTGATATACTAAGAAAAAATGAAGAGCAGACAAAAATGTTATATATAATTGAAATTTTAGAGTCTGTACAAGTGATGATCATCATTTGACTTAGGCCAAAAGGATCAATGAAACCTGGATGACAATTCCGGACAGAACTTGAACCAGGACAAATTCAGAATATAAATTGATGTCCAGAAAATGTTCTAAAATGCAATCGTTTTCAGACATTTTCCGTATATCTAGTTTTGTCCGGAATTTGTATATTATATTTCAAACAATTTCAAAGCATTTTCTGGACACACTTTTTTCGTAATTTCGCTGAAAAAAAAATCCACCACTTTTAAATTACATAAACTACATAATACTTACTATATTTAGTTAAACATTTTTTTTATTTTACTTATTTATTTTTATCTTACCTATTATGGAGAATTTCAATGATAAATTTAATTGTCAATCAATATTATTGTGCTTCCTCTGTATGGAAGGCCGTCCTTGACAAAAGGTTGATATCCAGACATCATGTTTGATAATGTCTAGAGCATCATGTCAAATATATGTAGAATAATGCTTGTGCATCATTCAACATGATGCTCAAGCATCAACCGACATGATGTCTTAGACATCATGTTACCAAATATAGTAAATTTTATTTTGTGTAACTTATAAATATACTATATTTGGTAATTTGATCAGCATGATGTCTAGACATCATGTCGGTTGATGTCTTTAACATCATGTTAAATAATATAAAAACATAATCCTACATATATCAAACATGATGTCTAGACATACCATCATGATGTCTAAACATTATATTTCATGATGTCTGGATATCAACCTTTTGTCAAGGATGGCTTTCCATAGCTAGCCGAAACCTAGAGGTTTAGGCAAGATGGCGTTTCGCCAAAAAGCAAAATTCTGCCAAAACTATATTAAAGTTATATTAAAAAACTGGCGAAACTTTGGAGAAAAGCGAAACTGCTGAAACTTATTATAAATGCCAAAACTGCCGAAACTCTGCCAAAACTATAATATATCTATAGTAAAATTTTGGCAGAACTAATCGTAGGATTTTGAAAAGGTTTAGACAAGCAACCTTAGTTTGGACATCAACCTTTTGTCAAGGATGGCTTTCCATACCTCTGTATTTTAACTAGTCTTTTTTTTTGATAATTTTATTGTCAATCTTAAAATCATTGCAACATAAAATAACGTTTCACCACTTTTTTTCATTTTTTTTTCTTTTCCTTTATTATTTTTTAATAATTTTTACATACGAATTAATAACATCATATTTTTTGTTCAAAAAAATTATTTATTAAAATGGATGGAATTAAATTAAGTGATGATGTATTTGAACAAATAAAAGACTTTGACTATTGGGAATTGACTGAAGAACAAGAATCGTTAATTGATAAACTAATAACAGACAAAGAATTAAAAGAACATTATAAAAATCATGGTTTATGTAAAGAATGTAAGCGGTTTAATACTGATTATGATAAATATTGCAATTTTGTAATTCTAAACATTTTCACCAAAATTTCAAAAATTGGACAAGTGGAAATCATGTCGTTGATGAATTTATTCAAAAAGCACAATTAAAAGCTAGTTCTTACGATAAAATCATATAGTGGATTGAATATGATAAATTTGAAGATGTTAAATATTTGGCAAAAGGGGGTTTTGGAACTACTTTTAAAGCAGTTTGAAAAGATGGTCATATTAGTGATTGGGATTATAATAATAATAAATGGACAAGAGAAGGTGAAACAAAAGTTGCTTTAAAGTGCTTGCACAATTCCCAAGATATTACATCAGATTTTTTAAAAGAAGTAAGATATTTTTCACTGATTTAGTATTATTAGCCTTATAAATGTTTAACTAACTATAATTTTCTTTTAAGGTTGAATCAAATATTTTAGTATATAGTAGTACTGGTTGGATAGTTCGTTGTTTTGGTATTACCAAAGATACAAAAACAAATGATTTTATGATGGTAATGGAATTAAAAGATGGTAGTTTAAGACAGTATTTAAACAATTACTTCATTTCACTGAATTGGCATAAAAAGTTGCATAATTTACAAGGTATTGCATCGTGTCTTAAAGATATTTATAATAAAGGATTAATTCATCATGATTTTCATTGTGGGAATATATTAGGCGATGATCATGGAATGGCTTTTGTTACTGATTTGGGATTATGTCAACCTGCTAATGTCAAATCCTCTCAAAATAGTAATAAAAAAAATATATAAAGTATTACCTTATGTAGCTCCAGAAGTTTTAAGAGGAAATGAATCTACTCATAAAAGTGATATTTATGGATTTGGAATCATTGCATATGAAATTTGTACAGGTTTCCCTCTTTATTATGATATAGCTCATGATGAATTCTTGGCAATGAAAATTTGTAAGGGATTGAGGCCAAAGTCTAATTATAAAATTCCTAAATTTATTTTTGACATTATTAATCAATGTTGGGATGCAGACCCTTTAAAACGACCTAATGCAGATGAATTAACTAATTTATTTTATGAATTATTTATTAAGCTTCATAATAGTGAAGTGGATTCTGTAATTTATAGACAAGTTAAAGAAGCAGATGAAATTAACAAAAAGTCATCTTCAACATTTCAGTCACCATTATCATCTACTAGTACACTCTCATATATAACACATCCTCAAGCAGTTTACACAAGTAGACTTTTAGATTTTAAAAATCTTCCAGAACCTGAAAATGCAGACAAAAATGATGATCTAGAATATTCAAGTAAACATATATAGTTTTCTATAATGATTTAAATTTTTTTACAATGCTAACAACTAATATTTATAGATTCTCTAAAAATGGATTTTACTAAACTTGATATTAATTCTAAAGGTAATTACAGTACTTTTTACATGGATTTTTTTGATCTACTAGATTTTAACTAAATTGATAATTTATTTTATTATAGATGAAAGTAATATTAATCACAGATTACTTTAAAGGTATCATATCTACCATGTTTATTATGTAATTATTTAATTCTATTTGTATTTTTCACTTGGTGGATTGAAGGAATTTTTTATGGATTAAATTTAACAATCGATATAAATTTCCTAATTTAATGATCTAAAGTCTAGACTGGAGTCCTGTACAAAGTCTATTTTTTGAAATCAGGCCCAGTCCGGTCTAGATCCCAACCAGAATCTCATTATTATGGTACCTTTGAGGAAAAAAACTATTTGTTAGAAAAAAAAAAAATCTTCAACATTTATTTGTTAAAAAACCTTTATATTACTTATTAAAAAAATATCTTTGTATTAAAAATTTCATATTTGCTTTTAAAGAATTTTTTATACTTGTATTTACCTATTAAAAAAAAAATTTCGTATTATTACTATTTATTAAATAAAATTACTTTCAAATTTATTAAAATTTATTTACTAAAAAAACTATCTATAGAAAGATATTTACGTGATTTATTTATCTACAAGAGAATGAATAAATTGAAAAAGATAAAAAAGGTTAATTTTTTTATTATTTATCTAGATTGTAAATTATCAAAGCAAGGCTTTTTTTTTAAAAAAAAATAAATAAAAAGTTGGAAAAATGTAGTATACAGTATAAAAAAAGCTATAAAATAGAATGATATAAAATGCAAAAAATTTAAAATGCTAATGATTGAAATCAAGAGATCGGAAAAATCCGCAAGTACGAGATGACCTATTTCTTTTTTTTAGTTTTATAGAAATCGAACGGATCAGAAGTACTATGTTTAGTTCCTTTTTTTGTATTTTTGTATTTTTTGTATTCTTGTATTAAGCCAATTCTTTTTTTGTTTCATAGAAATCGAAAAACTTTGCCTACAGATCGGATGGATCAGAAGAATCAGGAGACAAAAAAAATCGTGTACGAAAAAAGAAGTTTTAATTCTTCTTTTTATAATTTTTTATAAAGGGAAAGCGTCTAATTCTTTTTTTTTTTGTTTTGTAGGAATCGAAAACTTTGCCTACGGATCGGATAGATCAGAAAAATCGGGAGACCAAAAAAAAAATTTGTGTACGACCGAAAGAATCAACAATGCCTTATTTTACGCCAGATTCTTCTACAAACCATTCAAAATTAAAGATAACGACCAAAAACATTTCTATATAGCGTTTAAAAATTTCATATTGAACCTACAAAATTACCAGAAATACTATCTAACATACTTCTCGCCTCTAAAATTGAAAAAACATATGTATATATATCAGATATAATTTTGATCATTAGTTAGAGATCATGAAATATGAATGAAATAAATAAATTTTCATAGTTGTACTCAAATAAAAAAATTTTTTATTGATGTAGCTCATAACTGAGAAAAATGATAGTCATGCAATTGTGCGTAATATAAACTTTATGGTCTTAGCCGTTTACAAAGATGGTTGATCCGATGAAACATAAAATTTCTAAGCCACAGCGAATACAACTTTTTTCATATAAAAAACTTTTTACTTCAAAATATAAATTTTGGAGGGTTTCTTTTTTCCTTTTTTTTTAGTGCGTTCTAATAAACAGACTCTTACACATTTTATACTATATTTAATTTTATTCATTTATACTTTTTAGTCAATGAACCAATTACCAAGAATCATCCATTATCTTGTTATATGAGCAGAAAAATCGATTGTTCTGCAAAACTAAATGAAATTTTACTTAGGATAATGAACCAAATTTATTAATGAGAGTTTAAGTAAAAAATTGTTATATCAAATTTATAACATGTTCATATTATTCAAAAATTTAATTTCTTTTTCTTTCAATTTAGAAAACCGCAATATTTCTAATTCAAGGATAGGTGATTGATCGTAGTTAGAGAATTTACTAAGATTTCACTATTATGTAATAATATATAATGCCTATATTCACTGTTATTTATGTTGGTTTGTCATTTTCAATAATATTCTAATAAAATTATGTTTTTAATGTTTTAAACCGTTTTTTTAAAAAAAATCCTTGCTTTTCCTAATCATATGAAACTTAAATACACTTTGTTTTAGTATAAATTGTTAAATACATGAAAGTTTTTTTCGTAAGAAAATAGATAGAATTAGCGTTCATTTTTATTACCTATTTATTTTCCTATACAAACATCATTAATAATTTTAAAACATTAAATCATTAGCCTGAAGAAAAGAATGCCGAAAATCTTGTGTAATATGTCTAACTTTAATTGTGGTTATTTTCTTAATTAATTTGATGATCGTACTAACCATGAAATTCAAAATATGGTTAGTTTGAGGCCAAATATGGTTTAGACCTTTCCGAGATTTTTTATTCATATACTTAAGCTTGAAGCTTAAGCTTAAGTTTAAGCTTAAGTTCCAGCTTCAAGCCTCAAGCTTCAAGTGTTGAATCCGCAGTCAGCTTCTTTACGGATGGTGGGTTAATATATATATGAAAAAAAAAGAGTGTCGATAAAAAAAAAATCAATTTGATGAAAAAAAATGATCAACATAATACGTAATAAAATGATGATAGACATAAATAATTACGTAATTATATTATATAATAAACATTTATAATATGATAATATGAAAAATTTTGACAAGTTTCGTAATAGTTACCATTCACTTTCGTTTTTTATTACTAAAAATAAAAAAAAAGAAAACAAAAATATATGTATAATATTTCTTAATAAAAAAAAAACAATATAATAAGAATTTTTTTGTTGTATAATAAATAATGATAAAATAATTATTATATAAAAAATATTTCCTTATAAAAATTATTTATTATAAAAAATAGTGATTTCATTTTTAATTAATAACGCTTATACAAATATCTTTTTAAAAAACCAATAAATAAGATACCTCTCTCTTGATTTAAAAATTCTACAAAATAATGATAATAAAAAATACACTAAAAAAACACACACAAAAGAATATATCAAAAAAACACAAAAAAATGTGTAATGTGTATCATGCAATACGAGACAAAATCTAAAGTTTTTTTACGCATATTACCATTTTTAAAAAGTTGAGATCATCAATCATGTGATCACAAAAATATTTAATTTACGTTCGTTTTTATGTTTTTATAAAAATTTTAGAATAAGTTTTGTACATGGTAAGTAATCTAAGTTGATAAAAAATCAAAATATATTGTTTTAAGTTAGATTTGTTTACTCCAAGTATAGTTTCTTATACTAAATTTTGCTTAAATAGCGTCTAAGATAAAAAAGATTATTAATTAGACAAATTTTATAAAACAAAATCCCATAATACGACATAAAAATAAATAAACAAACCTTTATAACAACTTATTAAACTCACTTTCTCCTTTTCCTTCTATTTCTAACACTATAAATATAAAAATTTAATTATTAATGAGTTAACAAACTTAATAAAAAAAAAATTTATATAAATTGAGTAGTTTCATATAAATATGTAAAGTAGTACCTTAAAATACCATTTTACCACTTTCCAGAAGGCCTGAGAATATTTTGATTAGTGTAGTTATTGTATGATTCTAGCATAGTGTCTTTTTTTATTCATTATGATCTAAGTAAGATCTTGAAGTTAAAGAGTAAAAATACTGGTTTATTTTTGAATAAACTTTGCTAACACATAGTATACATGTATATTTATTGAAATATTAAAAAAAAATGGTAGTATTATAAAAAATTTAGAACTTAAGTGATAAGAAAAGAAAATTTTTTTCGTATATGAGAATTTTTTTTGTCTTACGTGATCGACATATTTTGAAAACGGCATAAATATGATGTTAAAGATGATCTTTTTAATAATAAGATAAAATAATAAAAATATAATATCATAATTATAATTTGAACTTTTTATAAATTATATTCAATTATTAAATAGAAAAAACGTCTATATTGATTAATTAAAAATAATATGCATCTTAATAAACTTTTACCCAATTATCTAATAATCATTTACTAATCAAAAAAGAAAAAAAAATTATTATATGATACCTGAAATTCTGTAAAAATGATCTTTTTATCAATTAACTAATCTTCAAATATTATCAAAATAAATATTAACAATAAATAAATAATTCTTTTTTAAAAATATATATATATACATGTATATAAATTAAAAAAATTAAAATTCGATAATAAATGTAATTTCAATAAATAAAAAAATAATTTTAATTTTTATTTAATTAAAAATACATAAAATAAACATATAAAAGCACCTTTCTACAAACAAAGTCCGCGACTATAAAAAACCCATTTATTGAAAAATTTTCAATTAATCGAAGAGTGTGCCAACTTGACTCCTAATTCTTCCCTAGTTAACATTAAATAATTGAACAAAGTTTACTTATAATATAATAAAATGTTAAGAAAATACTTGTGGCTTATGTAAATTTATTTTGGATGTAAAACAAAAAATATTTTTTTGTCAAGATGTTATAAATTATACAAATGATAATTGCATGTGATTCGTTGCGTAGTTCGTTAAATATTCAGTCTTAATCTTTAACATTAATTAGTATGATATTATGGCTTCTCCGTGTATTTTAAATTTTATAAATTTACACAGGCTGAACAATATCCAAAATCTTTTATTTTGCTCAAATATATTGTCACTGATTTTAATTTCTTCCATAACAAATAATAAGTAATACAGAAATTATGAAGAATGATACAACCTAATTTTATAAAAATTATTATCTGTTGTAAATTTTCGTGAAACTTTGTAGAATTTGCACAACTTAGAAATGTAACTAATAATAATGATTATGAAACTTTACAAAATTGTTTGAATTTGTTCTCTTTATGTTTATTCAAATAGAAAAGTTATGAAATTAAATTAAGTCTTCCAAATATTCAGCAAAGCCATGGGATATAGATTTACAATATTTATATAAAATTCTAATAAATTTATGTAAAATCTATGTTCTATTTTAAAAAACTTAAATCATTCAATGAATTTTTCGAAAATAAAATCATTAACTGAACGTTCATATTCATATTATTATCCTAATAGCTGATGATCTGATGATCACAAAAGTCACGAATAAATTTCATGACAGAATACAGAAATTAAATAAAATACTCTGTAATAAAAATAGTTTTATCTGTCATTTTCATCAAAATTAATATTTTATTATCGTTTGTTATTACCATTATATTGTACTTAGACTTGAAGCAACTAATAGCAATTGGATGATGTATTTTATATAAATGATTTTTTGATTCAACAATTCTAACTACGATTCTAATTATTCTTAACGCAAGCTTTTTTAACAATGATTTAATATATTGTTCTCATGATTCAATAAACTAATAATATATATAACTAAAAAATTTGTCATTATTAGGTAAAAGAAGTATAAAGGAAATTAATGAATGACGTCAGTTAATAAATAATACAATAAATGTTAAATTAATTATGCTTTTATACATAGAAAAAAGAAAAATTTTGACTGCTAGTAAATAAACATAATTATTGTTAATAATGTATAACTAAAAACCGACAATTTAAAATCTCCTTTCATTATAACGCTATTCTTTCTAATAACATTAACATTTTATACTATTTCCTTTAGTTCTTCCAAGTAAGATAGTATTTAAATTCTGCTAGTAGTAAATCATTGATTAATGACTCAAATAATTTCAAAATATGGAAACCTAATAATGTCATAAATTTTATGCTAAAAAATACCATAATTATTACTTTAATTCCAGTCAACAGGTTGCTCTTTAAAATAACTACTTGGATCAGAATGGGATTCGGTTGGATAATATCTTCTCCGACCGTTATCAATCTTTCACACAATGGTTCACTCGAACATTGCGTTAGTTCAACTCGCGCCGAATCTTTTACTATTATATTCAGTATTCTTTTGATTTGCCCACGAAATAGTACCGTCTACTATATTCATACTGACTCTCAAGCAACTATACATACTTTCAATTCTTTATACTCACACAAAACTACACCGCGTCGATTTCAAAAAATTAATAATTGTTTGACCTGGCAAGCCATAAAACACATTATTGAACAATTACGTTTAAAAGTTTCGCTGGTAAAAGTGCAAGCACATTCAGGAATCGAACACAACAAGGTGGCTGATTTACTTGCTAAAGAAGGTTGTTTATTACTCTATGCACGTCAATCAATAAAAAAGGCCTAGGCATGCAACTCTGCACCCTAGAATTTATTACTATTGATAGAAACATAAGAAAACTCTCAAAAAAACCATTAAATTATAGACGTTTCGAACACCATTTATTTCACTACTGAAATCATTAGAGATCAACAAAGATTTCACTTTAAATAACGTTATCAATTGGAAATACACCAAGATATGGATGCTATACAATCCGTTTGACCGTCCGACGAGTCTTAAATTGAATAAACTCAATAGTTGGAAAATGAAAACTTCTAGCAACAATTTATCAACACTTGACATCCTTAATCGTAATTTTCCTGGTTTATTACAAGGCCTTTTCAAATGTTTTTTTGCAACAAAAATAATGAAACAAATGAACTGAACACTTATTGTCCTGTTATTAAACTTTCAACTCCTATTTTAAGAAAATATAGAACATTGTTATGGGCTATACTCACGTCTAATGCTGATCACCCGGAAGCTGTTTTTAAAGAAAGTTTCAACCGTTGTGAACTCTTCAATTAGTGTGACCAAAACATACTCACAATCCAAGCCAACCACAATTCTATTAAACTTAATTCCTATATTACCATCAAATCAGAAAATTTAATCAAAAAATTATGATGTAATTTTGTTTATAACCTTCATTTAGACATTTATACAGACAGACATTTGGAGATACCGATGTGACTTATTATCCGAATGGAAAAATTCTCATAATATCACTAAATTAAAGTTTCAAAAACTTTCACACCAACAAACGTACTAATAAAACGCAAACAATTTACCGATCACGACCACGATACGTCGTGATACGTCGGATAGGCGCAACAACCGATCCACGCATAAATATACATATAGGAACCCGTACAATCAACATAGACAAAATTTGGATGATACTATGTGGATTTATTTCACTAGTAATAATTCTTTACATAATATTACTTGGTTACAAACTTTTGATTTTTTTTATAGATTTTAATTTTTCTTTTACTTCTTTTTCTTTTTTTCTTCTTCCCCCTATAATTTTTACTTTAATATTTAATAATCCATTTCGGTTCCTAATGCAGCAACTACGTTACTGAAATTTAGGTCTTTTTATCGAAAGGTGAGTTCTGTATGGGATGTACTCATGTACAATACTTCTTGCCATCCCTATAAAAAATTTTATCCGTTATTTCTGTAAAAATTCCGTAAAAATGATCCTTTCACGGATCCATTCATGGAAAATGCAAATAATTCGATAAATTCCGTGATATAAGATTATTAATTCCATCCGGAAATATGAGCTTTTTACGGAAAAAGGATGGAATATAAAAAACGGATCGACTTTTTTTATAAGGCATGTAAATTTTTACCTCTGAAATTATGTAGTGTGCCTGCCTTTCCAAGTAAAAAAAAATTGCCGATCTAAAATCATTCTGTATATATTTAACTAGTCTTTTTTTGATAATTTCGTTAAATCATTCTGTATTTTAACTAGTCTTTTTTGATAATTTCGTTGCCGATCTAAAATTATTCTGTCTATTTTTAACTAATCTTTTTTGGTCATTTCGTTGTCGATCTGCACATCGGAGTAAAATTTGCATAAAATAACGTTTCACCACTAATTATTATATTATTTTTTTTTTTCATGCTATTTAACATATTCCTTATACACAGTGAAATTCGATAAACCGGATCTTCGATAAACCGGATTTGGGCCTAAACCGGATTTTTTTGCTGGAACCAAATCACGTATATTAAAATAGTTTCGATATACCGGAGTTTACTAGTAAAAGCTCGATATTCGATAAAACGGATCAATTTTCTAACCAGCTATAGTAAAAATGATTCGATAAACCGGATCACGTGATCATTAACCAATAAAATTTAAGTAACGTGATGCGGTAAATCTTAATTTTGGCCAGAATTATAAAAATCTTAATTCCGGCCAAAGTTATATATTACTTATATATTCAATTAAAATATTTTATATTTATTTTCATGACCTCTATGACTAAAAACTAAGATAAAAAATTATATGTATTAATTTTATTAGCACGAATTTTTCAAAAAAATTCAGTATAATAGATTTTTAATATATTCGCTATACCGGATATCCTGATAAACCGGATATTTTTAGTGGAACCGATAGATCCGGTTTATCGAATTTCACTGTGTATAACAAATAATTCATTAAATGGACGAAATCATACTTAGTGATGATATACTTGAAAAAATAAAAAATTTTAGATATTATCGTTTGACTAAAGAACAAGAATCGTTACTCGATGAACTAATAGCAGACAAAGAATTAATAAAATGTTATAAAAAACATGGTTCATGTAATATTTGTAATCAGCCTAGAACTGGAAATATTTATTGTCGGTTATGTAATTCACAACGATTTAAACAAAATTTCAAAAATTGGACAAGTGGGAATCATGACGTTGATGAATTTATTCAAAAAGCACAATTAAAAGGTAAAAATGAGTCTCAAATCATAGAGTGGATTGAATATGATAAATTTGAAAATGTTGAATATTTAGCAAAAGGAGGATTTGGAACTACTTACAAAGCAATTTGGAAAGAAGGATATTTTACTAGTTGGGACTTTCTTAATAATAATCAATTGAAAAGAAATGGTGAAACAAAAGTCGCTTTAAAATGTTTACACAACTCACAAGATATTACAGCTGATTTTTTAAAAGAAGTGAGATATTTTCTTAAATGTTTTAATATTGTTTGCCTTTATAAATGTTAAACCAATTATAATTATTTTTTTTTTTAAGGTTGAGTCAAATATTTTAGTATGTGGATCTTGGATAGTTCGTTGTTTTGGTATTACCAAAGATCCAAAAACAAATAATTTTATGATGGTAATGGAATTAAAAGATGGTAGTTTAAGACAAAATATAAATAATAATTTTAATTCAATAAATTGAGGGAAAAAATTGTATTTGTTACGTGGTATCTCAATTGGTCTTAAAGATATCCATAATTGTGGATTAATTCATCACGATTTACATTGTGGAAATATATTAAGTGATTTTAATGTTGAATTTGCCTATATTACTGACTTAGGATTATGTCAACCAGCAAATGTTGAGTCCACTCAAAGTAATAATAAAAAAATATATGGAGCATTACTTTATTTAGCTCCGGAAATTTTAAGAGGAAAGGAATATACTCAATCAAGTGATATTTATGGATTTGGAATCATTGCATATGAATTTTGTACAGGATTTCCTCCTTATCATAATGTAGCTCATGATGAATTCTTAGCATTGAGAATTTGTCATGGCTTGAGACCAAAGTCCAATTATAAAATTCCTCAACTAATTTTTGACATAATTAATCAATGTTGGGATGCAGACCTTTCAAATCGACCTAAAGCGAATGATTTAGAGAAGTTTTTTACTGATTTATGGACTAATAATTGCAATAAAGATTCTATAATCAGTAAACAAATTAAAGAAGCAGATGAAATTAACAAAACGTCATATTTAACGTTATCATCTATTGGTCTTTCATATATTACACATTCTCAAGCAGTTTACACAAGCAGACTTTTAGATTATAAAGATCTTCCAGAACCCAGAAATTCAGACAATAATGATGATTCACTTGGAATAGAATATTCAGGTAAACATATCTATAATTTATTATAATAATTTAATAGGTTTATTTTATAATGTTAACAAACCAATATTTATAGAATCTTTAAAAATGAATTTTATTAAACCTGACATTAATTCTAAAGGTAATTAATTACTTTCGCATGTGATATTTTGATCTATTAAATTTTAACTAAATTGATTTATTATTTTATTATAGATGAAAATAATTAAATCACATCTTACTTTAAGTAAAAATAAAAATAAATAAAAATTTTGTTTTATATCCCAAATATTTTCATTTAAAGAACGAGGATAATAGTTAATTGCGTCTAGATGGAAATATACTAGTAAGGTTCATATTATCTATTATTCATATCTTATTAAATTTAAAATATAATTATATATATATTTTTTTTATACTAAATTATCTAAAATTAATAATAAATAATCACGATAAATTGAAAAACTAAGTTTATTGTAAAATTTGTTATTAAGTGATACTTTACCTTATTAAAGTCTTGTTAAACGTGATTGATAAGTTATTTTGTATGTACTGTACGTTATATCAGAATGATTCTATTGCATTATATAAATTGTAGATTATTATGAAATAAAAATTATTCTTTGATAATATAGTAAGTATAAGAGAGATTTAAAATATTTGAAGTTGATAACCATTCAATAATTTGGCTTTTTTATTTTAGAGGTTGACACAACACGGCCCAGAGAAGAAGAAATATTGGTCACGTATTCTCCATTTAACAAACAGATTCATATATTTAGTTGCTGTATAATCTTTAACAGCTTCATTCATCTAATGATTATAAATATTTCTTTCTAATTTTTAAAAGTTAATTAAATTAAATTTATTTATTCAAAGCAGTTTACAAAACTCATCTTTTCCTTAAAAGATTTATTTAGTGATACATCAGGTTGTAAACGAGAAGTTAGTCCACATGGAATAAGTAACTGCCAAATTGGTTTTCTTTTCACGAAACTGTTATTTTACAGCTCAGTTTTATATGCGGAAAAGGAATCCAACACCAAAAGAGATCTTGGATTATTGCCTTGGCTTGCGCGGGTTGTCCAAATATTTTCTACCCATCAGGTCATCATTCAACCTTCAGGATTGACACGAATTATCACACCTTCAGGAAAATCTTTACGCGGAATCTTCTTAAGTTTAAAAATGATGACTGGTGGCGTTTCATCCATCGGCCATGCAAACTAAAACAACTGTGAAGTTTGAACGTTCGTGTCCAGTTGATGGAATTGAAATAGTATCTTAACTCTCCTTTAAACATGAATTCTTGTAAATTAATATACTAAATTATCTAAAAATCAAATATAAATAAATCACTAATATTTCACTTGCGATAGTTGTAATAAATAAGTTTTATTGCTAATAAATGAGGAAACTAATTTTATATAAAAATTACTATTCGTTGATACCTTACCTTTATTACAGACTAGAAGTTTTATTAAATGTGAATTGATAAGTTATTTTGTATATATTTTATATAAGAATGATTCTTTTGCATTGAATAAATTGTAGATTATTGCGAAATAAAAATTATTCTTTGATAATATTCTTTATGATGGAAAGTATAAAAGAGATTAAAATATTTGAAGTTGATAATCGCTTAAAAATTTGACTTTTCTATTTTAGAGATTGGAATAATCGATCAATTAACCGATTAAGATGATTAACCAAGTTAGGGCATCTCAAAAAATCGGTTAATCGATTAAAATTTTCCAAATCATGATTCTCAAATTATATAATACAATCCAGAAATGATTGAAATTTCGGTAACATATACTTCAAACTCAAATTTTAACAAACGGGTTTTTTTATGGTACAATCTGCAGCTAAAAAAAATTTTAATATTAATCAATTAATTAATAATTGATTAAGGATCTTTATAATTTACAAAAGTTTGAAGTCACATAATATTAGTGACCGTAGTCAAGTTTTATAACCAACGAAATTAAAATGGATGTAGAATTTATATTTTTAAAAAATGAAATATTTAACTATAAAATTATTTAAAATCATCATTAATGAATAACTATAACTGAAAATATATTTTATCAATTAGTAGCTTTTAGTTGTGTTAATAAATTCATCAAGTTTTCCGATAGAAATTTATAATATTTATAATACTACGCGGCTCAGTGGCTGCCTATCTATACTAGTGTTAAACTGCTTACATTCTTCACATGGATACTATTTTATATGATTCTTTATTTAATTTTTGTTTATTTGAATTATATTATAATGATCGTTTGGATACATCATTATCGAGTTTGAAAAATTATATCGGTCAATTTCACGTGATTTAATTTCTTTCCAAGCCGATCATTAATTTTGGCCAAAATGATCGGCATTCTGATCATCAAGTGAGCCCACTTATTTTAACTAGTCTTCTTTTATTGCCGATCTTAAAATCATTGCGCATCGGAATAAAATTTACCATGTTACCGGCATAAATAACGTTTCAGCCGTTTCAGACGTTTCACCATCATTTTTCATTTTCTTACAAAAAATAACATGTTCCTTATTCAACAAATAATTAATAAATGGACAAAATTAAACATGTATTTGAGCAAATAAAAGATTTTAGTCGCTATTATTCAACCGAAAAACAAAAATCGTTAGTTGGTAAAGAAGATAATTTATGTGAAAATTGTAAACAGACTGATACTGGTTATAATTATTGTCAGTCATGTGATTCTAACCGTTTTCAACAAAATTTCAAAAACTGGACAAGTGGAAATCATGACGTTGATGAATTTATTCAAAAAGTACAATTAAAAGCTAAAAACAGTCAGTCAGTTATAGAATGGATTGAATATAATAAATTTGAAGACGTTGTATATTTAGCAAAAGGGGGATTTGGAACTATTTTCAAAGCAGTTTGGAAAGATGGCCCTATACGGAAATGGGATTATGAAAATAATCAATGGGAAAGAAATGGTGAAACAAAAGTCGCTTTAAAGTGTTTACATAACTCACAAGATATTACAGCAGATTTTTTAAAAGAAGTAAAGATATTTCCTATTAATTTTAGTATTATTAGCATTTATAATTTCTAAACTAATTACAACTTTCTTTAGGTTGAGTCAAATATTTTAGTATGCGAATCTGGACTTGGTTTGGTAGTTCGTTGTTTTGGTATTGCTAAGAATCCAAAAACAAATAATTTCATAATGGTGATGGCATTAAAAAATTGCAGTTTAAGACAACATATAAATGATAATTTTAATTCATTAAATTGGTTGAAAAAGTTGGGTTTATTACGTGGTATCTCAATTGGTCTTAGAGATATTCATAATAGTGGATTAATTCACCATGATCTTCATTGTGGAAATATATTAGTTGATGTTATTGGTAGTGTTGATGTGGCTTGTATTACTGATTTAGGATTATGTCAACCAGCAAATGTTAAGTCTTCTCAAAGTAATAGTAACGAAATATATGGAGTATTACCATATGTAGCAACTGAGGTTTTAAGAGGAAAAGAATATACTCAAGCAAGTGATATTTATGCATTTGGTATTATTGCATATGAAATTTGTACAGGATTGCCTCCTTATCACGATATACCTCATGATGAATTATTGGCAATGAAAATTTGTCAAGGGTTAAGGCCAAAATCTAATTATATAGTTCCTCAACTAATTATTGATATAATTAATCAATGTTGGGATACAGACCCTTCAAAACGACCTGAAGTGAACAAATTATTTGAGTTACAAAATGATTTATGGAAGGATTGGATTGAAGAAGATTCTGTAATCAAAAAACAAATCAATGAAGCAGATGAAATTAATAAAAAGACATCTTCAACGGTTCAGCCACATTTATCGACTATTGGTACTCTCTCATATACGACACATCCTCAAGCAATTTATATAAGTAGACTTTTAGATCTTAACAATCTTCTGGAACCCAAAAATGCAGACAATAATGATGATTTATTTGGAATAGAATATTCAGGTATACATATATATTTTATTATAATAATTTGGAATTGTTTATGATGCTAACAACTAATATTTACCATAGAATCTATAAGAATGGATTTTACTAAACTTGATATTAATGGTAATTACTTTGTACGTGAAATTTTGATCTATTAAATTTTAACTAAATTGATTTATTATTTTATTATAGATGAAAGTAATTAAACTCAATGTTATTTCGTGGACATTTTTGTGAAAATCTAATAAGGCTTATATTATCAATTATTCATATCTGAAAATTTTAATATATGTTAAAGATTAAAATTGTATTTTTATTAATAATTTAATTATATTAGGCTATTTAAAAAATCAATAATAAATAAATCACTAATATTTCATTTGTATAAATAAGTTCATGGCTGATAAATAGAGTAATTAAGTTTGCTGTAAAAAATTACTGTTCAGCGTTATTACAGTAGAACACAACCACTGGAAGTTTTCTTAGATGTGACTTGATAAATTATTTTGCATCAGAATTATTTTTTTGCATTATATAAATTGTAGATTCTTGAAAATAAAAAATTATTAAAATATTTAAAGTTGATAATCGCCCAAAAATTTGGCTTTTTTATTTTAGAGGTTGAAATCGATTAAACAATAATCGATTAATTAACCGATTATAACAATTCGAAAATCGGATGATAATTCTGGTCAAATTATATAGGAGGGTGGAATTTTGGTCACGTACTTTCTATTTATTAACAAACAGATTCATATATTTAGTTGTTTAAAACATACAATCGCAGCCAAAAAAATAAAAAAAAATTTTTAATATTAATTGATTAACTAAATTATGGCGATACATACATAAATTATAAGTGATAAAGCCTTTAATAAGACTGATCTATAATAAAGTCAACATTGCTTAACTAATTCGCCAAGTCATGAAATTAAAGACATTATTGTTGCCTATCTTTTGGAATATTATTCCATGCATACAACAGATTGTGCTGTTTGAAGCAAGAATAACCTAGTGACGTCACTACTTAATCCGTTTGAAGACTTAATAACCGAGTAAGAATTGCAAAAATAAAATAATAATAAATAATATACGTGACATAATTAGAAAATTTACCTATCGTTATGTCAAATAAGACACTTACCCATTATTACGACTTAAGTATATAATAGATGTAATATTAAGTAACTTCTACAAATAATTACAATAAAGTCGTAATATTTGTAATTTTAAGTATCATATAGCATAACGTCAAAGTAATTTTATGTCATTTTAATCTAATAGATGCCGATCTTTAAAAGTCATGTGATAAGGCAAATATAAATTTGGTATACATATCAACTAATAAATGATACACTGTATATCTAAAATGATAATCTTATTCCCGTGTTTCATTTTTTTAAATTTTTTTTATACCAATAATGAGTCTGACTGACATAAAATGCTTAATTTTTTTTGCATTAAGATGTCAGTCCAAGTCATAATGCTAAATAATATTGCTATATATAAGTCCCTCATGGAGACAATATTGTTCTTGTGGTTCACTATTAACTTCAACATTCACCATTGACTTCTTACCATTAACAAGAACAAGGTTCACCATGAGCACTTCTAGTACTTCCAAAAATAATTCTGCAAATTCTGGTAAATTCTGCAAATTCTGCATTTAACATGATACAAAAAATTTATGATATAAAAATTTATCAAATCTATCTAATCTTTTTTTTTTAGCTATTGTTCTCTCTTATTTAGAGGGGTACCCAAATCACTCATATCGAAATTTTTTGAAGGTTTTTCATGATGAAGTCATTACCTCAACACTTTTGAATGCCTCAACACCTTCAAATGCCTCAATACCATTGAATGACTGGTGCTATTTTGATAATTTTTGGGCTAATCAATTCTTAAACACAGCAAGGTTACAATTAGATAAAGAGAATTATATCTCTTTGAAAGAAAAGGTGCGTATTATTTTATTTTGCAAAATTAGGGTAACCCCTGGTTGGGGTGCCGGTTTGGTTACTGGTACTGCCCAATTAGGGGAATTACTGGATTTTTGAAGTTCTTGGTTCAGGTGCCCTAATTTTGTTGTTAATAAGGGTCTACTAATTCTGGAGGAGGAGTTGGTTATGTACCTTCCCTTGTTACTAAATAAAAGACGCACAATTAATGCATTGTTTCATAACAGATTAAATCAGAACGTAAAGGCAAGGGTCTGCATACATACTGGCAGGGGATAATTGAGGAATGTAGAGGGGTGAGTATTAAAAACTCTATGTGATTCATTATAATTATAAATACTCTTGTATTATTTATATGATTCATTATATATATAAATGTATAAATATAGAAACGAAAACGAAATATGATTGAAGAGATGGAAAATAGTCAACCACAAGCAAAAAAGAAGCCTTTTATAATTTCTTTACCAGAAGTTGTTAGAAACACTTTACCAAATCTGAATTATCTTAATTTGCGTAATAAATCAAATTCATGTACTGAATCCACAGAATTACGATTTCCAGATGAGATTGTAAATTGGACAGGATTTGAACAAGAAGTATTAGCATGGCAACCAGAGGTAGATAAGGAATACCAAAAACCAACATTTAGCCAACGTCGTATAATCACATGTGAAAAGGATATCTGTACAGCATCAGATATAAACATATATGAAACTTTAACTCCACTTGATCAATCAATCCTTTTTTTGGATGGTCGTGCTTTGAAAAGTATTGTTGGTCAACCAGATTTTATAATAGTTAACAGCAATATGGTACTTCTCATGATTTGGGAATGCAAAACTAAGTGGGTTTTAAAAGTACTTCCCGATGAAGATATTATGGCATTATAAAAACAGGAAAAAGAGATTAAAGAAGGACCATATGTTTGTTCTAATAATAATGCTTCAATATTTGATTCTATAAATCAAGTTTATGGCTATATGTGTGCTAATAGTTTAAAGTAAAAAATTACATTTCTTCTTTTTGTTATGTCCAACTTGATAGATTTTGATTAATTTTTTTCTTACAAAAATAGGTATGGTGTTCTGTCAACATATGATCAAACTTTGTTTCTTAAAAGGGAAGTAGTGAAAGTAGAGGGAGAAGACTATGGGCGACTATATATATCGAATACTATTATGAGTGCATCAACAAGTCCCACATTGCTTAAATCTGTTGCATACATAATTGATCTCGCATCTAATGATCATTATTCACCTTTTCTTAAAAAACCTACGATGACTGCTGATGATACCAATGAAGATGATGAACCTATTCCTGAAAAAAAAGATGACAGTGAATTTAAGTATAAGGGATATTTACTTCCAAAAGGTCCAAATGTTATAACTCGAAATCAAAGTCGACGAGTGCTTGGATCTTTAGACACTAATGTGGACCTATGATATGGGATCTATGATATAAGAATTATTAATATATTTTACATATTAACAAAATTGTTGTATTATATATTTAATATTGTATTTTGTAGATTTGGTTGTGACATATTTAAACGACAATTACTTGAATTAATTACTAAATATTGCAAAAAATCTAAATTCATTGATATCAATAGGATTCATTAAAAAATTTTCCGTTTATACGATTTTGGGCACGTGACTAATAATATCACTAATCCGTAAAATGCATAACTACAAATAGATATCACGTTTACGAATACGAAACTGTAGGACAATCTTCACTAACATATATTTTAATCATTTTACCACATATGAAATGCTCAAAAAAAAAGTTATTACCTTTAAGTTTACCAATATACTGCCCACCTAACATATACGTGATTTTTTACTGTGCCTTTTATAAGTTTGTTTAAAGATGTAAAAGAGAAGTATGACTAATTTAAATTATTAAAATTCTAAAATGATATTATATTTAATATGGGTCAGTAATTTTGATGACAGACTGAGTCAGCATACCAATGTGCAACAATTGACATTAGCTCAGAATTATGATAATGAGGTCCATTATCAGAGATGACACTTATCCATTTTGGCTTTTTTTCTATTGATCCAAAAACTGCTTCAAAAAAGGACGCAGCAAACCATGCGTGCTAAAAAATTTGTAATCATATAGTCTACTTCAGTTTAATTATACTTTTTATATCAGATAGCTTATACTGTTATATTGTTAAGTAATTGTTTACTTTTAACAACTTATAATGGACACAAACTATAATGGACACAAAGTAACACAAGGCCACCTCAGTTAAACAAAATTCACTCCGCATAACCGATGGTGTAAGCATGTGATCAAAAAATATATGATAACACGGATGTTAAATTTACCATGTTATTAGCTTTTTTTCTTAAATTAAATATATGTAATTTGATAATAACAATGCTCCAACGTATGGAAAGGGAATGTAGTATTAGTGAATTAATATTGAAAAAAGAGTTATTTAGGGTTAGGATGAGGAAGTGTGGCATAGTAAATAACGTTGAAAAAGGAGTTATTTAGGGATAGGGAATAAATTTTGGTTCTTCAGGTCAATGACAAATTGAATAATATCCTAAATCTTTTATTTGCCCAAAATCGTTGTCTGAGTTTACAATTCACAAAAATAGTATTTCTTGTGCAAAAAAAGATTAATAAAAACCCGGGAGACAAAATCTCTTTGTGAATATTCTTCAAAATAATTACAGAATTTACGCAAACTTAGTCATTTAATTTTGTAACTACTGTATAGAGAAATAGATGAGTATGAAACTTTAAAGAAGTTATTTGGTAAAATAAAATTTGTTTTGAGGAATTAAGTCTTCCATAAATCATCAGCGAAGCTAAAGGTAAGCAGATTTACATATTTAATATTTATATATAATTCTAATATATTTAAATCTTTCAATGATTTTCGAAAAAAAAAAAAACAACTAACTGAATGTTCATGATGTTATCTTAATTGTTGACATATTTTAAAAAAATGAAAAAAAGACAAGTCAGATAAAAAATACTTTTTTTAAAAAAATTATTAAAATAAGTTAAATTAATACACATGACGACACATTGTTAATGAGATCAATTTTATTGTACAGTACAATACCAATCTATATAAATTACTGAAATTTAACGAATTTTTCAGAAATTTTGCAAAAAGATCGGAAATGGAAAAATTGCAATGATCTTTTCAAGTTACTTTAAACAATTCCTAAATTTCCAAATTTTCTCTTGACTAAATATATATATAACTTATAAGGTGGATTACCATTCTTCACATAAACATGGTTATAATTTATAATGATATTTTAATTCTTCATTTATTATTATTTATATAATTTATTAACAATTGCAAATATTTAAAAGTTACATTATATTTAAAAAAAGATTATTCTTTAATTAAATTTTAAAAATCATTAACTAAGTGTTATCTTAAAAACATTTATATTAATAGTCGAACGATGAATAAAATTAAGCTTTTTCGTCAATAACCTATATATTATAAAATTTTTTTTTTAGTTTGTAATATTTAATATATTCATAGCGGATAATGTTTTTTCTTAAATTGGTATGCAATTAATTTAATTTATAAGTTAAAAATATAATAAACATTAAAAATAATAGCGGCGGAACACAATAGAATTCGAGGATGTAATTAATTATCTAGTAAAGAAGCACTGCCTTGCTTAAAATAAATAATTGTTTCAAATCAGTTCCAACTTCAAATCAAATGTACTTCGTCAATAAGAATTGGAGAACTCGGTGATGAAATAAGAGTCGTTAGTTTCAAACTTGCTACCACAGTAGAAAATGATCACAAGTTCGATAACTCTTCTACGGTGGTGATCCTTTCTTTCGCAATGAAGTTATTAATCAGACCAAAATCACTTTATTCTTTTTTATAGCCATAAGCTTTACAGATTTAAGTAGTATGGCTAAATATCATGGTGAAGGTTACAAAAGTAATATGAAGCCAGTAATTAAACGAAAATTTCTAAAGGAAGATACTGAATTTAGAAGAGAGAATTAACTTTGAATTTTTTAATCATTCAATAGTTTGTAATCAGTTAACCCGGATAGTAGATTGGTAAGTAAGGATTGCAGAAGGAAATTATTTTTTACAAAAAACAGTCTTGGATCAGCAATGAAATTGAATCTGCGCAGTTGGCACAGGCCGCACAGCGCACATGAAAGTCGATAGGCGAGATATTTCATAATAATAGCGTTTACTATTAATAATTTTATTTTTATAACATATGACTTCATAGATTGCGCACTAACCTTTTATGAATAATGCGCGCCCTGTGCGTATAAGAATAATCAACATTGTCTTGAATGATCCCTTTTTCTGTACTTTTTAGACTTATATATTTAAAATAAATGGCGTTTACTATAATAAGTTCATTCAATTAATATCATTAACATTTATAATGATATTTACAATTATTATAGTTGGTTTTACGCCATAATAGTAAATTACGGGTTAGAATCGAAATTTATTGACCGATTTTAGACTGGTCTCAAAGACCGGTCTACATATCGGACTTGTCCGGTCCTGGGACCGGGTCGGACCGGACCGAACAAACCCTATTATTTGTAATTCGCACGTACCCATTTGCAATTACAGAAATATGAATATTTGGTTATTGCGGATTGTCAATTAAAATCTTTTATTTTTTTAACAAAAAACCGTGTGTAATTATGATGCAAAAAAAAAAATTTTTTTTTCCTTTTCTTTTTGAGCGTATAAGTAATAGTACAGGTTTCCTCAATTTTCTTCGAATGATTATACTTCAAGAAATTAAATGTTCACTTAAACAATAAAAATAATTTACTTTGCCGATTGGCTAATGAACATTAAAAATACTTAAAAATATTCGTATATATTTAATTATTTTATTGTACTAAAATATTAATTAAATAAATTAACGATGATAATATTTCTATAAGAGTTTCATTCCCAAAGAGATTTTTTGAAATTGTAAAAATTATAAATATTAAACTATCGTCAAACCATTTATTAGTGACGCCGAAATATCAATCATTTTTCATTTTTGTTATAGATACTATGGAAAACGACCTAAAAGTTATACTAGTTGTGAAACATTGAAAATCGAAGATTTTGCTCACATTTAGCAAGTTTTCGTTTAAGCATATTGTTCATCCGTAAAAAAACACTGATAGATTAGCGTTAGTGACTGTAATTTTGGATTAAGATTTCGATCGAGATGTTGATCATTAGGTCATTTGAACAAATCGACAAAATGATCGCTGTGTTTTAAAGGGTCGTACTAAATCTTATTCCTTATTGTATAAATGATTTATTATTTTAATAATAAATCGAACGATTATAAGAATTAAAGATTAGTAATATGATATAAAAATGTCGTCAACCAGCCATATTGTTTTTTGTATTTGACAATTTATAAACCTACTAAAAAAAGTAAAATTATAAAAGAACATTCTATTCATGCCCACTTTATTTATATTGCATTTAAATCCGTTATCATTATATGGATAAAATTCCCTAAAATCTTTTACCGAAATAGTATTAGGTTAAGGGGTTAAACAGTGTAACAGTAGTGTAACATAATATTATAAAATAAGGTCAATAAACTATAAAAGTATTTATTATAAGTTGAAAAAATTTGAATCGAAACTATTAATAGTAAATTAGTTTTGCCTAATTACAGAAAGTCCGATCTGATTGATCGATGATCATTTCATTCGGAACTTGTAATTCTTCTTGATTTCGATATATTTAGATTCTTGGCAAAATTATGATCGACAGATTCTATTTTTACGTCCCAAATTTTTCTGCGCATGTACAAGGTTTATGTTGCGTAAGTGTAACATTACCAATATTTATTTGTTTAAATTTTATCCGTTGGTATTTTTACTTTACTTATTCGATTTCATTATACTTTTTCGTTCAAATATAATAACTGACGTAATCAAATTTCAAACATGTTGTAATTGTAACATGGCAAACAAACATCAAACAAAAAAAAAACATAATATAAAAATTATGCCAAGGCTCTTTGTTCTAATACATAGAAAGTTTAAAGTTAGATTTATTAATAGAATTATGCATATAAAATGATAATATTTTTCTTTGTTTATCATAGTGTCAGATCCCTTTGATTGAAAAAATTTTTTTTTTTTTCCTCATACATATATATATATATTTATTTATTTTTATTACTATTATTATCATTATGTATGTTTAAAATTTTTTTCCTGCATAAAAGAATTTTTTTTTTTTCTAAGAAAATATTTATTTTTGAAAAATCTCGGGGGGTTTTCGATTCACGGTTAATTGTATATTTAGTAATGAAGGCTTATGAAAAATCATACTTCGCCTCATTTCTAAATTTACCAATAACCGGCTAATTTTCAGAATTTTTGAAGAAAAAAACTTAAAAAGCTGAGATTTTCATTATTAGTTATTTTCTTTCTTTATTTTTTATCGGACCTAGCTGAAAAAGAAAATATACGTATATATATATATTTTTTATGGAAAATTATTATACTATTGATTAAGAATATTTAATATGATTTATATTGGATTTAAATATAAGTACGCACTTGTACTTATTATAGTACTTGTTGCAATATTTATTACAGTTAATTTTGCATCACCAACCTACGAACTAACGAGTCAAGCTCTTCAAAAGAGACAAGGTAAAGGTGGAGGAGATGGAGGTGGACCGAAAGGAGGTGGTGATAATGGAGGTGGACCGAAAGGAGGTGGTGATAACGGAGGTGGACCGAAAGGAGGTGGTGATAATGGAGGTGGACCGAAAGGAGGTAATGATAATGGAGGTGGACCGAAAGGAGGAGATAATGGAGGTGGACCGAAAGGAGGAGGTGATAACGGAGGGAATGATGCACCAAAAGCGGGCGGTGATGCACCAAAAGGAGGAGGTGATAACGGAGGGAATGATGCACCAAAAGCGGGCGGTGATGCACCAAAAGGAGGAGGTGATAACCTGTCTCTTATACACATCTAGATGTGTATAANAAAGGAGGAGGTGATAACGGAGGGAATGATGCACCAAAAGCGGGCGGTGATGCACCAAAAGGAGGAGGTGATAACGGAGGGAATGATGCACCAAAAGCGGGCGGTGATGCACCAAAAGGAGGAGGTGATAACGGAGGGAATGATGCACCAAAAGCGGGCGGTGATGCA